AGAATTGAAACAGGAATTCCATTAAGTACTTTCGTATATTAATACTTCTTCAGAAGGAATCTTTCATTCCTTCTGAAGATGTATTAATATACGAAAGTACTTAAGGAAATTAATACTAGACATGTATTCATGTTTATCTCTTTGGAAATCTATGAATAATAGATAAAAAATTATACACTGCAGTATTTTTGTTATTAACACAGCAATGTGCTGCTACCCTATTCTGTATGAAAGATTACAGTGTAGATCAAAAACTTGCTATAAGTTCATCTAATATCCCCATCCCACAGTATGGTTAGTCATACATGGAATCAGGAGAGAATATGAAATATAATACTGATCTATTAGCCTCCACTAACACATTCTGGGTACAGCACAAGAAATTTTGCAATATGCCTGAGTGTATGAAGTAATTACAGAGCTCAAAGTACCTCATACCATTTAGTCTGCAATCACTGATAACAAGATAATCAGATATAGTATTGGAGAGTCTGTACTAGCTCTTGGTAACAGTTTAAAATTGGAATGTAATTTACACTGGGGGGGGGATTCATTTCCTGCAGCCAGCTGCCATAGATATCGATATCCTAGTCTAATTGTGGCAATTTCAACGTTGCACTGTTTATAGTTGATGTTTTATGCAGTTTTGACACTTTATATGCAATCATATAATTGGTCGCGAATTTTAATCGCCGGAATTAAGGAGCGTAACTTATAATAAAGTAGACATAGTTCACTAAATAGTATGAGCTGAACTAGTAAACTAATTTGAAGATAATGAACAATATGTAAATGATTTTGTTTGTGTGTTGCTAAAATTACAACCAATATTGTTTTGAAAGGGCTATAGTTACATTTCCCTTGTCAACAACTGTCCATCTCTGGAATAATGGTACAAAAAGTAGAGGTGAGAGTGTACCCTAGAGCGAGTGTATACCATTGTTTACCAGGCCTCTCCCCCCACCCCAGCAGCCTCCCGGGGCCTGTGATCTTGACCCGTCACAGATCAGCATCCTGACCACACAACTCCCAGGCGTTGTCATGGTAACTATTTACAGTGCACATGTGGCAACGCCGCGCCGCGTCACGTGACCGCGCTCCGCCAATCAGCGGCCGAGATTTCAAACTTGTGTCTGCCTTTGTCATAACGTACGACTGAGTGTGTGCGAGAACCAATGTTTCTGAGAGCAGTGTGTCGTGTGTGTATTTATTTTCGTATTATAAGTGGAATATTCGCGTTTATACACTCTGAATCAATGAGGAATACATAGAGGTAAGTGGCGCAGATGGAATTTCCCTACTAGTTCTGCATGTATATCTGTACTTCCCGCAGGAACTAGCAAAATACTAAAATCCCCCCACGTTCGAGGGCTCGTTCCTGGGCGCACGATCGAGTTTACCGGCGACTCTCTGGCTCTTTAAATGCAAGTTTGCGAGCGCAGGGCTCTAAAATGAGCGCCTGCAAACCCCGCCGGTGCCTAAGATCCACTTAAGATGCCGTGAGGAGGGTTGGCGAGGGCCGTGGCTGGAGATATTGGTGTGTGGATGAATTACGCGGGAAAGCTAGCGAGAGGAGGAGGAGGGAAATCCCGGGAGTGAGACACAGGCCATTTAAATCCCGGGTCGGGTGGCCCGGCGCGAGGGGGGGATTTATCAAATAGGGATTTACCATGCTTAACGAGGGCCAGGGGGTCAATCTTGGGTCAAGGGTCGAGAAAGAGAGTGAGAGATGGAGGAGCGAGAGAGATTAGTGAGAGGTGAGCGCAGGAAGGAGAGAGACAAGCAGAAAACTCCCTTGTTTGCCTAATACAATCACTCCCAGGAACAACAATCACGTGGAAATATACATTCAGGTATTGTAGTCACTAAGGGAAAATTTTTAGTCCACGTAGGCCTATGCTTTAGCAGGCTGGGTGAGGTGGAAATGCTTTTTTCCCAATCCGAGGAGACATTTTGGACTCGCGAAGAATGGGTTACATAACGTTCCCGCGTTAATGGGTGTATTTTTTATTTAACAAAGCGAGATATTTGAAGGTGTATTTTCGATTAATTAATGAGATTTTTGCACACAATTTAGTCCCATTTAGTAACCCGATTATTATCTGGATTAACAAATTATTATTGTATTTTTAAATGATGGGAATGGGTCATATTGGTACTAAAATATTTTAATTTTCAATATTGTAGAACAGTATAATTTCCAATAATATTATAGAACATCATCATTTGCAATAATATTATAGTAGAGCATTATTTTCAATCACATAGAACAGTACAATTTTCAGTAGTATTATGGAACAGTATAATTATCAGTTGTATTGTGGAACGGTATAATTTTCAGTAGTATTTGTGGAACAGTATAATTTTCAGTTGTATTTTGGAACAGCATAATTATCAGTAGTATTGTGGAACAATATAATTTTCAGTTGTATTTTGGAACAGTATAATTATCAGTAGTATTGTGGAACTTTATTTTTCAGTTGTATTGTGGAACAGTATAATTTTCAGTTGTATTTTGGAACAGTATAATTATCAGTAGTATTGTGGAACTTTATTTTTCAGTTGTATTGTGGAACAGTATAATTTTCAGTTGTATTTTGGAACAGTATAATTATCAGTAGTATTGTGGAACAGTATAATTATCAGTAGTATTGTGGAACAATATAATTTTCAGTTGTATTGTGGAACAGTATAATTATCAGTAGTATTGTGGAACAGTATAATTATCAGTAGTATTGTGGAACAGTATAATTATCAGTAGTATTGTGGAACAGTATCATTTTCAGTTGTATTTTGGAACAGTATAATTATCAGTTGTGTTGTGGAACAGTATAATTATGAGTTGTATTGTGGAACAGTATAATTATGAGTTGTATTGTGGAACAGTATAATTATGAGTTGTATTGTGGAACAGTATAATTATGAGTTGTATTGTGGAACAGTATAATTATCAGTTGTATCGTGGAACAGTATAATTATCAGTTGTGTTGTGGAACAGTATAATTATGAGTTGTATTGTGGAACAGTATAATTTTCAGTTGTATCGTGGAACAGTATAATTATCAGTTGTGTTGTGGAACAGTATAATTATGAGTTGTATTGTGGAACAGTATCATTTTCAGTTGTGTTGTGGAACAGTATAATTATGAGTTGTATTGTGGAACAGTATCATTTTCAGTTGTATTTTGGAACAGTATAATTATGAGTTATATTGTGGAACAGTATAATTATCAGTTGTATTGTGGAACTGTACAATTTTCAGTTGTATTTTGGAAAAGTATAATTTTCAGTATTATTCTGAAACAGTATCATTTTCAGTTGTATTTTGGAACAGTATAATTATCAGTTGTGTTGTGGAACAGTATAATTATGAGTTGTATTGTGGAACAGTATAATTATCAGTTGTATTGTGGAACAGTATAATTATCAGTTGTATTGTGGAACAGTATAATTATCAGTTGTATTGTGGAACAGTATAATTATCAGTTGTATTGTGGAACAGTATAATTATCAGTTGTATTGTGGAACAGTATAATTATCAGTTGTATTGTGGAACAGTATAATTATCAGTTGTATTGTGGAACAGTATAATTATCAGTTGTATTGTGGAACAGTATAATTATCAGTTGTATTGTGGAACAGTATAATTATCAGTTGTATTGTGGAACAGTATAATTATCAGTTGTATTGTGGAACAGTATAATTATGAGTTGTATTGTGGAACAGTATAATTATCAGTTGTATTGTGGAACAGTATAATTATCAGTTGTATTGTGGAACAGTATAATTATCAGTTGTATTGTGGAACAGTATAATTATCAGTTGTATCGTGGAACAGTATAATTATCAGTTGTATCGTGGAACAGTATAATTATCAGTTGTATCGTGGAACAGTATCATTATCAGTTGTATCGTGGAACAGTATCATTATCAGTTGTATCGTGGAACAGTATAATTATCAGTTGTATCGTGGAACAGTGTAATTATCAGTTGTATCGTGGAACAGTATAATTATCAGTTGTATCGTGGAACAGTATAATTATCAGTTGTATCGTGGAACAGTATAATTATCAGTTGTATCGTGGAACAGTATAATTTTCAGTTGTATCGTGGAACAATATAATTTTCAGTTGTATCGTGGAACAGTATAATTTTCAGTTGTATCGTGGAACAGTATAATTTTCAGTTGTATTGTGGAATAGTATAATTTTCAGTTGTATTGTGGAACAGTATAATTTTCAGTTGTATTGTGGAACAGTATAATTTTCAGTTGTATTGTGGAACAGTATAATTTTCAGTTGTATTGTGGAACAGTATGCAGTGTACATTGTGGAACAGTGTATACTGTATCAGTTGTATTGTGGAACATAAATGAGTACTGAATATTGAGGCATTGACTGGATCCTGTCCATGTGTAGGATATTATTGGAACAAAGGACAGGCATCATAGGCCTTACCAAAGTATTATAAATTGTGATTCATGCCAAAATATATACAGTACTTATACTGTAAAGAACAAATGGTACTTTATTCAGATTGTTCATAAAACTTTACATTTATAATTTGGTTAATTGGGCTTTACATTACTGTAACTTTGGTCTATACATTAAATGTTTTAATCTTTGATCAAATGCCACTTTTGAATACAAAGCACATAGTTATGTTTTAGGAAGGCCAAGGATGTACATAGTATTAGTTTATTTGATTTTTTTCTAGCTCACTAGCTACATAATGTATTATTAAATATTTCCATTAAAGCTTCTATTGACTTGGGAATTAATCATTATCAAGGTCATGTTAAGATTGACTCTTAAGGGTTTTTATAGTCATGGATAATATTTTACATGGAAAGTCATAAACAATAGCCTAAAAATATATTATGAGAACCAAAGTTTTATAATTACAATTTTATTTTCACTCCAGGCATTATTTTTGATTGATTCTTAAAATGATAACTGGTAATCCTCCAGTTTCTTTTTTTACATTAGTTTCCTATTTGTCATTATCCTCCATTTTCTATGCAGGCCTAGTTCAATCTTTCCAGGATTCCTGTTGTAAACATACTGTTCATATAAGAATTTGTCATGGATCATGGGAAATCAGTCATTAAAACAAGACAAACGTGTGAACCCCATATGAGAATGAAGAGTAGGCTTAACTTATTCAAATTACAAATGTTCCCTCTTAATTTTTGTTTATGGTTAGTTAATGACTGCTTTTATGCTATAATCTGTAATTGGCATCATAGTACTATATATACAATATTTATAATCCTCATGGTGATGAATTAAACATTGTACATATAGGATACAGTTTACATTGGCAATAGATTTGAAGAATTTATGAATGAAATAGCCTGTGCACAAAATTACCGATGCTAGCACCTGCATACATAATGAAGTACATACTGTACTGTAATTTGTTCATTCGTAGTACATACTGTATAGTGTTGAATTTTTGGCCGCGAAACATTACAGTGTGAGATTGGATTGGGTTAAGGTTAGACAGATAGTTTCTTGTGTTATACAAGTTAAGTTGCTGGTCACTAGTACCATGGTTTTTAATTATACATATATTTGTAATTATTAAATAAGAAAATATATAATAAATGCAACTGCAGAAGGTTTATTGGTCATTCCCTATAAAAATCATCCGAGAACAACGTCAACTCGTGCTATGAATAGTTGAGGGCCAAAGGGCTACTGTAATGAGAATGCAAACCATATATGACAGGGCTGATCTCATCGAAACTTTTAAGATGCTAAAAAATTTGGAGGATATTGATCCAAACAATTTTAAAAGGTCATGTACTGTACTTGCCTAGTTGTGCTTGCAGGGGTTGAGCTCTGGCTCGTTGGGCTCGCCTCTCAACTGTCAATCAATCAACTGATTTTTGTTCTCTCTCTACACACACACATACCCCAGGAAGCAGCCTGTAGCAGGTGTCTAACTCCCAGGTACCTATTTACTGCTAGGTGAACAGCATCAGGGTGAAAGAAATTCTGTCCCTTTGTTTCCACCTTCATTGGGATCAAACCCGGACCTTTGGAACTATGAATACTGTGCACTATCTACTCAGCCATCAGGCCCCTGTGTACACTAGTTAATACATACAAGGAGCAACAGCTTCAAGCTCAACAATCCACAATATAGGGCAGAAAATAGTTTTTTTTCACCCATAGAATTAGAAGCCCATGGAACTGCCTACCTGCCAAAGCTGTAAATGCCAAAACATTGCTACAGTTCAAAATCCAAAAATAATCAGGAAAATGGAAGACCTTTGACAAACTGCTGGCTTCCTGTCTTCATCTAGGCCACTAGAGAGATGATTATCTTAAATCTTGAACACGGACAAACCCCACCAACTACAGAGTCCAGTGAACTGACAAAAGCAACAATCCTAGCCATAAATAAGTGAACCTCATCCCAAGCATACATATCATTGTTTCATAATAGTAAAATTATCAGAGGTCATAGCAAGGGCAGACCGATTCCTGCTAGGAATGACAAAAAAAAGGCAGGGAGGGAGAATGTTATAGTTCCCAGTCAACCATAAGACTCCTTACCTCAGTTTAATAATTTACTATAAATTATCACATTTAGTTCCATTATAGATGATAAAAACGCAAGAATAAAGCAAACCGCAGAAAGTCTTGAACACTGAAACTGTAAATTATAGAAATTTGACATGCCGTTTTTCTATACAAGTCTAAATGATATTTACCAATATTGACGTAATGGATAAAAACGTGCAGTGGGTTCATTCATGTCAAAATAAAGTAGTAAAAATAATGAACTCATTACCTAACTCTTGGAGTGTGAATACAGTACAGTACTCTACAGAAACAAGATGTCGACTGTATTAGCACAGGTGGAAATGAGCAATGAGAGGGGCTGGTCCACATTATGGCAGTACAGTAAAGTCTTGAAATTTCTATGAACTTTTTTTAAGTGATATTAAGCGTAAAAAGAAAACACATATATAAAAAATGCGATTGCAGAGAATTAACAATGTCGTCAGTCTGATTTTTGTTCTTCACGTTTCATATATGGATGCTTCTACCAAATTTAAAAAAAGATGTAATTCAAATAGGAAAATCCTTAGATATTTTAAGCCCCACTTATTTCAGCTATTGGTCACTGGGCAGTATTTTATAAAACCATGAAACATTTACTACACTGTACAGTATTTTGAATTCAATGTGAAAATTGGAAATAAAAAGATTAACTCTTAAGCTCAAATTAACATTACAATGACTATATTCATTATGCATGTAATTTTTTCTTTACATGAAGAATATGTCCACCCTACAATATAACCAAGGAAATCTATAAAATAAAATATTATTGGTAGGCTTCAGGTTATCTTGAGATGATTTCGGGGCTTAGCGTCCCCGCGGCCCGGTCCTCCACCAGGCCTCCTTTGTGTTACACCCTTCCCCCCAGGAAGCAGCCCGTAGCAGCTGTCTAACTCACTAATTGGCCGTCTTCCAAATTTTGGGTAGTTCTACTGTTACCAGTGACTTGTTATATACAATTGAGAGTGGAAGGAAGAGTGCTTCTGCTTCTTTTAGTATACATGATGAGATACTTACTGGGCCTACACCCTTTACCACACCTAACTCAAGCAAATGTTGTCTTGCCTCCCACTGGTAATCTAAAACTCCTCGAGTGGTGCCTGGTTAGATATTCCCTCTCTTAGTTCAGGAACTTGTCCTTACTGTACGTATTGTGAAGACATGGCATTTCTTATTGAGTTCCTTGCACATGTCCTTGTCATTTGTAGTGAACCTGTCTACACTTATCCTCAGTTTCATTACCTGTTCCTTCACTGTTGATTCCTTCTGATTTGGCTGTGCAGCAATTTGGGTCGAGGCTTTGCTTTGTTTGCTCCGTTATTTTCAAACCGTCTTTCTGCTACTCTCCTCACTCTGAGGTACTCATTCCTGGGCCTCTGGAATCTTTCTCTGCTCTCTGGTGTCCTGCTATTTCTGTAGTTTCTCCATGCCCTTGTACTTAGTTGCTTTCCTGATTAATCAATGGGTTCCTCATTTGCATTTTGGCATTTTGTTTGTTCCTTTTAGACTGGGACAAACTTGACTGTCCCTCTTTACACTTCTGGGTGATGTAGTCCATGTCTTTGCATCCTTTCCTCTGAGCTGTTATCTTTTTCTCTTGAGCTCTTTCTGGTAATATCTATTAGGAATTTTCTTATCTGTTGAGGAGTCAGCATAGTTTTACATACAGTATACTGTATTTACATAAGCTGTGATATGTGCACACACATGCTGTATGTTATACCTTTGTTTTTAGTCTTCATATCTTCAGCCACATTATTGTGACTCATCGTCTGCATACCTTTGTTTTTGTTAATCATTAATGAAACCCCGAGCCGGGGGGAGGGGGGGGGAACAAGGGTGTGTGTCTAGACCAACATTCACACATGCAACCTTCTGGAATGGGACTAGCCCAAGAGGAGAATCCAACCCCTGGGAGAAACATTTGAATGTAGATTTAACACGCATTTATGGTTACTAACAAAGAATGAATTTTAATGTATATTACCCATATTAAAATCTTTAAAGCCCTTGTATGCATTGATATTTTACTTATTATTAAAATTACTTACTGTATGCTTAATGTGTTGTGATTAACCTCAGGTAATTTGTTCTTTACAGATAGACGATCAATTTACTTCTCTCCCACCCACCCCACACCTCCACATCATCATCTCTGCACGACCATCACCTCACCTTGTCACTATCATGGACCTCTATCTACCCAGCACAGAACCCGGACTTACCCTGCAAGAAATGATAGACTGCGATATTAAATGTGGTATTGACTTTAATGAAGGACTTGATAGTATGATAACATCATCAGATTTAAACTCTTTAGACCTCTCAGGAATGTCATCTTTAGAGGCCGAGTTAGACTTAAAGTCATTTGAACCTTTATTTGACCCCCTGGAGAAACTTGAAGATATGGATGTCACTGATGATCATACAGCTGAAGAGCTAAATGTCGTTAATTCGTGGATGAATATGTCATCGATGAGCAATTACAATTTAGACTTGGAAAATAGTGTTATGGTTAATCCCTCTGCTGTTTTGCCAACAACTCTTCCTTCTCGCAGTATAAGACAAGAACCCTCTGTAACGCCGAGTTGTTCTATTTCAAGTACAACAACTACTCCTACTTTATATATTAAGACAGAACCCCAACCAGCTGCTACCACTTCTGTACAGGTATTTTTTTTACTTGTACTGTATTTAAGAATGACAATTACAGATGTCACTGACATTAATAATAAGTTCTCAAAATTTGGTATAATATCAAAACTGTTTAATATTTAAAGGTGAATAGTGTATACAATGAAATACAAAAATTCTCAATTTACCAAATAAAAATAATGTTTACTTTCAGACCCCTCATTCACAGGCAGCTACAAGTGGAACGGTAACCACGCAAGTTACAGTAATGCGACCACAGACAACTGTCGGTCAAATGGTACGCCAACAGAATGCTATGGTATCGGCTCAGTCAACAACTCTCTCCTCACCTCGACCTACCATTGTGACTAGACCCACCATGGCCACACCTCAGATGGTTGTACAAACAACTCAACGCACTGCCCCCCAACAACTTAATGTAGCTTCTACTGCAGCAACTACAACGCCTACCACAACACCCATTATCACTGCACGCACCACAACCCCCCACACAGTTCTTAACAATAGGTAAGGTTTGATAGTGTATAAGCAATATATTATTTTGTAGAATACAGTATTTTTTTCTTTCCCTAATGTCAAATTTCTGATACAACTTGGCAATAGAATTGGTGTCTAAAATTATTGTTATCAATCTTTCCAAGGTACAAGAGTGCAGGTAAACCACGAAAGGATCTTCGGCCAGAGGAGAGAGTATTTCCTAAGCCTGCCTATTCATACTCGTGTCTCATTGCCCTGGCACTAAAGAACAGCACAACTGGCAGCTTACCTGTATCAGAAATTTACAGCTTTATGTGGTGAGTTACTAGTACAGTAGTTTCTTTTGTGTACATTTTTAAAAGATGAAAATTAATGGATATGAAGCCTGGCTGTGCAACTAAAGATTTGAATACAGTACAGTTGTGGATGAGTACAGTATTATATTCTCATAAATAACACCAACTGTAAATGATTCGGGCATCTCGGGATCCCACATAAAATGTTTATATTCTCTTAACATTCTGTTAGTTTTTGGGTTATTACTGCAAAGTTGGTGTCACTTTGTTCGCAAGTAAATTTCCAGAGTATAGATGCAAAACAAAATGTGATTTAATAATAGAATTCGTGTGGCAGTGCTGAATACAATGTACAAATTTTATGAACATTTCAGCATTCCTCGTATATTTCTCAATATTCCTAATTTAATTTCCAACAAAATAAAATATATGGAAATGTGTATATTAGTGGTCAATGTTACTGTAAAAAAGAAAACAAACATAACTTTCATACTTTTTTCAGCAAGTAATTTACAAAGTTTAGTGAAAATTCTTACAAGCAAAGCAATTGTCGTCTTGAGTGATAGTTGGCCGAGGTGGTCTCTGGTCCCTTGACACTTTGGTTGTTCCCTCTGATAAGCTATGCTCACAGTGTGTTAACAAAAGTATGGTTTCTTGAATTTTAATATGTCACATTTGCCACATTTTAGTGTCATTGAAATGTTAGTGTTAATACACTATAACTAATTATATATATATGTATATTTATATATATATTATATGTACAGTATATGTATTTATATATATTATATTATATGTATATGTATTTATATATGTTCATATATTATATTTATATATATTATATGTATATGTATTTATATATATTATATGTATATGTATTTATATATATTATATGTATATGTTTATATATATGTGTGTGTGTATATATATATATATATATATATATATATATATATATATATATATATATATATATATATATATATATATATATATATATATATATATATATATATATATATATATGTCGTACCTAGTAGCCAGAATGCACTTCTCGGCCTACTATGCAAGGTCCGATTTGCCTAATAGGCAAAGTGATTTTCTTTATTTTCAATAAATTGTTTCCAATTAGTTTATTTGAATTATTATTATTATATTATATTAAGAACATAAATTATTGACTTAATTGTATTAGTTTAGGTTAGGTTAAGATAGGTTAGGTTAGGTAGGGTTGGTTAGGTTCGGTCATATATCTACGTTAGTTTTAACTCAAATTTAAACAAATTAACTCATTCAAAATGAAATGGATAGCTTTATCATTTCATAACAAAAAAATATTGAAAAATATATAAATTCAGGAAACCTTAGCTTATTAGGCAAATCGGGCCTTGCATAGTAGGCCGAGTACGACGTTCTGGCTACTAGGTACGACATATATATATATATATATATATATGTCGTACCTAGTAGCCAGAACGCACTTCTCAGCCTACTATGCAAGGCCTCATTTGCCTAATAAGCCAAGTTTTCCTGAATTAATATATTTTCTCAAACTTTTTTCTTATGAAATGATAAAGCTACCCATTTCATTATGTACGAGGTCAATTTCTTTTTATTGGAGTTAAAATTAACGTAGATATATGACCGAACCTAACCAACCCTACCTAACCTAACCTAACCTATCTTTATAGGTTAGGTTAGGTTAGGTAGCCGAAAAAGTTAGGTTAGGTTAGGTTAGGTAGGTTAGGTAGTCGAAAAACAATTAATTCATGAGAACTTGGCTTATTAGTCAAATCGGGCCTTGCATATTAGGCAGAGAAGTGCGTTCTGGCTACTAGGTACGACATATATATATATATATATATATATATATATATATATATGTCGTACCTAGTAGCCAGAACTCACTTCTCAGCCTACTATGCAAGGCCCGATTTGCCTAATAAGCCAAGTTTTCATGAATTAATGTTTTTTCGTCTACCTAACCTACCTAACCTAACCTAACCTAGATTTTTTTGGCTACCTAACCTAACCTTACCTATATATATAGGTTAGGTTAGGTTAGGTAGGGTTGGTTAGGTTCGGTCATATATCTACGTTAATTTTAACTCCAATAAAAAAAATTGACCTCATACATAGTGAAAAGGGTAGCTTTATCATTTCATAAGAAAAAAAATATAGTAAATATATTAATTCAGGAAAACTTGGCTTATTAGGCAAATCGGGCCTTGAATAGTAGGCTGAGAAGTGAGTTCTGGCTACTAGGTACGACATATATATATATAATATATATAATATTAAGTATATACAAGTTCTGTGTGTATATGAATATGTACTGTATATATGTACTTGACACTTCCAGAGGTGGAAGACTGGTGGGTATATGAGCAGGCATTGTGTTGATTCAGACTTGTGGGCCATGCAGTGTGATATTCAGTAGAGTATGTGTGAGAGATGCACTATAGCAGCCATTTTATGAAAACTGTAACCATGTTTTCTCTAGAAACTGCTTCCCTGTACAGTACAAGTGAGGCAGTTTTTACATTATGGTTAAATACATTGAATGCTTATTTACAAAAAAGCTTTGTATATATTCAAGTAGGGTTTTGAGAAATTAAAATAATAGTTTATATAAGTAAAGTTGTGATTTTTGTTTCAGTGAGCACTTCCCCTACTTTCGGACAGCTCCTAATGGTTGGAAGAACTCTGTTCGGCATAACCTTAGTCTCAACAAGTGTTTTGAGAAGATTGAAAAACCAGTTGGTAAGTTTTCATCCACTTCACATAATGTTATTCTTAAACAATTGTTTAATATAGCCACTGAACTATGCAGGTGAATCATATGGCCAGAAGATACAAAGACCCCCTTCCAAAAGATTCTGGTAGGCCATGCTAGTTGTATGGATCAGACAGAATTAATAAGGAGTGTTTTTATACCACCTAAGTATTTTAAAGTGGCATTTCTATGAAATACAGTGGTACCTCGCATAACGAATTTAATCCGTTCCATGTTCGTCATGTGAAACGGACGTCATACAAAACGAGTGTCCCCCATGTAACCAGTGTGATGCACTGTGTTTATTGTGAAATTCCCCCAGTGTGCATGACATCAAATGTTCCCCAAAATATCATTTTTCTTTGCAAAATGATGAATTACCGTCCCTGAACAAGTCTATGTAAAAATAATTACCAAATTCCACTTACTTTGGCTGTGAGGGCGTGGACAAGGTGCGCTGTGACGTCATCAGGGGCTGGTCGCCCGTGTGTGAAGCTCCCAGACACGGTCGCGCAGGCCATTCAAGCACCGCGTGTTGCCACAAATATATTTTCAAATATTTTTTCTATGCATTTCCAGTGCGGTTTTATTTGTTTCTTTTATCGTATATGATGCATATTTGTGACCTTTACAATATGTATACAGTAGAATGTTCATAATTTTCCATGAAACTGTGATACATGTGTTAGTAATGTGTCCACAATAAATGTTTATTGTCACAATATTACGTGGTAAAAATTCACTAAAATTACAATATGTACAGTTTCACATAATATTTACACAGTAACACACTGTATTACACACTCAGTACTTTGGAGGTGCGTAATAGTCAACGAAGTAGTCCATGGTACACAGCGCGACTTTGCTCTCCTTGCACCAACTACTGATAGATTTTCGTTTCCTGTTTCATCGTTCTGTGTGCTTGCAAATAACGCACTCGCGTGCACCCTTGGCTTTAGTACTTGTAGGTGGTATGTAGCCAAGCTTGTAAAGCATAAGGTAGTATTGAAACGATTATAGGAGAAGCTCAATTTGTAAGGTAGTCTTGAAAAGATCGCTTTGTAAGGTCCCACACAGGAAGAGATTCAGCCAGCCTCAAAGAGTGTCCATCAGTTAGGAAGAGATTCAGCTAGCCTCAAAGAGTGTCCATCAGTCAGGAAGAGATTCAGGTATTCTTGAAAATATCAATGAACACCACCACCATGGAAGCCGCTAACACTGTTCATCTATGCTACTTGTATCAGATGCATCATCACTGAACGCAGAAAACGATTCATCTATGTATCATCTATATAAATTCGAGATGGCAAGGGTGGGGCTCAGAGCTACAACTGGATACGCTCGCTGTATCATCCTCATAGGTGCTGTATCACTGGCATCCGACCGTTGTGTTAAGCCCTTATTGCGCCTAGCTTCACCAATGTTATGACCCTTATGGTCTTCAAACAATAGGGGTCTGAATTGCACCGACTGAGCGTAGTCTTTCAACACCGTGTGGGACAGGTGTTTGAGAGCCAGAGGCACGTGTGCTACAAATGGTTGCTCACGCACTACTAACCCAGCCAGCAGTCCTTGTCTTTCATATTCGTTATAGCAAAAGGTTCGTTCAGTGTTTGTTGGGTTGGCTGCTCCATTATGACAATCTTTCTTTGTTTCAAATGTGTTCCATTTGTTTTGTATTTGTCACTTACGTCTCAATAATGGAGCAGCCTACCCGACAAACACTGACGAACCTTTATGGCATTTGTCCATTTTTCAATTTGTTTAAACAGTTCTTTTATTTTTCGTTTTTTTTTTATTTAAGAAACATGGAGCAGATGACCTGTAGACCACCGAACGAACCTTTTTGACATTTGTACTGGTTTTCAAAATTCTTCATTTTTTTTATTATTTACGTTTTTTGTATGTAAAAAACATGGAGCAGCCTACCTGCCAAACACCAAACGAACCTTTAGCTATAAGACAAATGAAAAATAAATATTGAACACATTTGAAGAAAGGAAACTGTCATAATGGTTTATTCAGTGTATATAGGGTAGGCTTCTCCATTATTGAGACGTAAATGACAAATACAAAACAAATGGAACACATTTGAAACAAAGAAAGATTGTTATAATGGAGCAGCCTACCTGCCGAACACCGAATGAACCTTTTTGACATTTGTTGTATATCAGACATTTCATTTCTTTTTTCCTACAAAAACGTCAATGCTTTACAACATCTCAGCAGTCACCCTTTTATATCCCAGCATCATTAGCATCTTTAAACAAGAACAACATAATTTATGTGCATCGTCGGAGGCGTCTAAGAATGTGCAAGAAGCAGCGCGGTGACCCCACCATGTGGTGTTGACGTTACTCAAACCAGCGTTCGTCATACGGGACAATTTGATGCCGATCGGGCTGTTCGTTACCCAAAATGTTCGTCTTTTGGGGCGATCGTTATGCGAGGTACCACAGTATAACATCATTGAGCCCATTGGTTTTGTGTATAAAACCAAATTCTTTGATGGGTAAAAATATAAAAGTTATGAAATCAAATTAACCAAACCACACACTAGAAAGTGAAGGGACAATGACGTTTCAGTCCGTCCTGGACCATTCTCAAGTCGATTGTGAGAATGGTCCAGGATGAACCGAAACGTCGTCATCCCTTCACTTTCTAGTATATGGTTTGGTCAACATATTTCAGCCATGTTATTGTGACTCCTCGTCTGCTTATGAAAAAAATTTGTCTTCATAACTGAAAGTTATTAGGGATGTTTATTTCTGAAGATTTTATTCAATATTATTGAATAAAATGATTGCATAATTATTGCATGATTATGATTGCATAATTATTTAGATTTAGGCTGACCATACCACACCCTACAACAGTACTCTCCCGTTCTGAAAGGGACAGTACCGTTTTTTCATATTTCCCAGCTGTCCCATTAGTGTGATATTCAGTAGAGTATGTGTGAGAGATGCACTATAGCAGCCATTTTATGAAAACTGTAACCATGTTTTCTCTAGAAACTGCTTCCCTGTACAGTACAAGTGAGGCAGTTTTTACATTATGGTTAAATACATTGAATGCTTATTTACAAAAAGCTTTGTATATATTCAAGTAGGGTTTTGAGAAATTAAAATAATAGTTTATATAAGTAAAGTTGTGATTTTTGTTTCAGTGAGCACTTCCCCTACTTTCGGACAGCTCCTAATGGTTGGAAGAACTCGGTTCGGCATAACCTTAGTCTCAACAAGTGTTTTGAGAAGATTGAAAAACCAGTTGGTAAGTTTTCATCCACTTCACATAATGTTATTCTTAAACAATTGTTTAATATAGCCACTGAACTATGCAGGTGAATCATATGGCCAGAAGATACAAAGACCCCCTCCAAAAGATTCTGGTAGGCCATGCTAGTTGTATGGATCAGACAGAATTAATAAGGAGTGTTTTTATACCACCTAAGTATTTTAAAGTGGCATTTCTATGAAATACAGTGGTACCTCGCATAACGAATTTAATCCGTTCCATGTTCGTCATGTGAAACGGACGTCATACAAAACGAGTGTCCCCCATGTAACCAGTGTGATGCACTGTGTTTATTGTGAAATTCCCCCAGTGTGCATGACATCAAATGTTCCCCAAAATATCATTTTTCTTTGCAAAATGATGAATTACCGTCCCTGAACAAGTCTATGTAAAAATAATTACCAAATTCCACTTACTTTGGCTGTGAGGGCGTGGACAAGGTGCGCTGTGACGTCATCAGGGGCTGGTCGCCCGTGTGTGAAGCTCCCAGACACGGTCGCGCAGGCCATTCAAGCACCGCGTGTTGCCACAAATATATTTTCAAATATTTTTTCTATGCATTTCCAGTGCGGTTTTATTTGTTTCTTTTATCGTATATGATGCATATTTGTGACCTTTACAATATGTATACAGTAGAATGTTCATAATTTTCCATGAAACTGTGATACATGTGTTAGTAATGTGTCCACAATAAATGTTTATTGTCACAATATTACGTGGTAAAAATTCACTAAAATTACAATATGTACAGTTTCACATAATATTTACACAGTAACACACTGTATTACACACTCAGTACTTTGGAGGTGCGTAATAGTCAACGAAGTAGTCCATGGTACACAGCGCGACTTTGCTCTCCTTGCACCAACTACTGATAGATTTTCGTTTCCTGTTTCATCGTTCTGTGTGCTTGCAAATAACGCACTCGCGTGCACCCTTGGCTTTAGTACTTGTAGGTGGTATGTAGCCAAGCTTGTAAAGCATAAGGTAGTATTGAAACGATTATAGGAGAAGCTCAATTTGTAAGGTAGTCTTGAAAAGATCGCTTTGTAAGGTCCCACACAGGAAGAGATTCAGCCAGCCTCAAAGAGTGTCCATCAGTTAGGAAGAGATTCAGCTAGCCTCAAAGAGTGTCCATCAGTCAGGAAGAGATTCAGGTATTCTTGAAAATATCAATGAACACCACCACCATGGAAGCCGCTAACACTGTTCATCTATGCTACTTGTATCAGATGCATCATCACTGAACGCAGAAAACGATTCATCTATGTATCATCTATATAAATTCGAGATGGCAAGGGTGGGGCTCAGAGCTACAACTGGATACGCTCGCTGTATCATCCTCATAGGTGCTGTATCACTGGCATCCGACCGTTGTGTTAAGCCCTTATTGCGCCTAGCTTCACCAATGTTATGACCCTTATGGTCTTCAAACAATAGGGGTCTGAATTGCACCGACTGAGCGTAGTCTTTCAACACCGTGTGGGACAGGTGTTTGAGAGCCAGAGGCACGTGTGCTACAAATGGTTGCTCACGCACTACTAACCCAGCCAGCAGTCCTTGTCTTTCATATTCGTTATAGCAAAAGGTTCGTTCAGTGTTTGTTGGGTTGGCTGCTCCATTATGACAATCTTTCTGAAATATAACATCATTGAGCCCATTGGTTTTGTGTATAAAACCAAATTCTTTGATGGGTAAAAATATAAAAGTTATGAAATCAAATTAACCAAACCACACACTAGAAAGTGAAGGGACAATGACGTTTCAGTCCGTCCTGGACCATTCTCAAGTCGATTGTGAGAATGGTCCAGGATGAACCGAAACGTCGTCATCCCTTCACTTTCTAGTATATGGTTTGGTCAACATATTTCAGCCATGTTATTGTGACTCCTCGTCTGCTTATGAAAAAAAAATTTGTCTTCATAACTGAAAGTTATTAGGGATGTTTATTTCTGAAGATTTTATTCAATATTATTGAATAAAATGATTGCATAATTATTGCATGATTATGATTGCATAATTATTTAGATTTAGGCTGACCATACCACACCCTACAACAGTACTCTCCCGTTCTGAAAGGGACAGTACCGTTTTTTCATATTTCCCAGCTGTCCCATTGTGTTAATAAAATGTCAATTTTTTCCTGCTTTACAAAAAAAAACTTTAATATAGTTCAATCATAAATTGTTATTCATAACCTATAATCACATCAATATCATGAATATTAGTAATTGATGTAACCATAGTCACATTGTTTGATACTAAGTACCAATATCTGCAGTGCTTTATTCACAGAAAATTGAAAATACATTTTGGTAACCAATGCGCATCACAGATGCGGCGTCTGTTCTGCTGTAGCATTAGTTTTGTTTTGCCTGTATGCTAACCAATGCTTTGTTATGCTATAGCAAAATATTTACTTCATATTTTTTAAAGCTTTAAGTCTATCGTTGCAACGTCAGAGTCGAAACTACCGTTTTTAATGACGCTCTCCAGAATGAATTCAAATTTATTCAACTGGACAAACTTCAGAAATGAAAAGGAGCTCTGACACAGAAAAAGATACTAGAGGTGGTTCTGTATATTAGAGGTGGACTGTCCCTAGAGGATCATGTAAAGAGCATATACAGTACTATGCTTTCCAATTTCAAAAACACTTTGATACTTAGTATTTCATGTGGATGATGAAATACTCTGTATTAAACTGTTCATGACTTGAGATCAAAACTGGAATATGCAGCACTTGTATGGTGCCCATATCTCAAGAAGCTCATCAATAAATTGGAAAAGGTGCAAAGACTCGTTATGAAATGACTTCTGGAACTGTTAAGGAAGAGTTACGAGGAGATGCTAGAGATGTTAAATATGCCAAAGCTCGAAGACTGAAGAAAGAGGCGGTACGATCACTACATTTAAAATTGTAACGGGAACTGAAAAATTGACAGGGATTCTTGAAACCTGCATCTTCAAGAACAAGAGGTCATAGATTCGAGCTATGGAAACAAAGGCACCGAAAAATTATTAAGAAAGTCCTCGTTTTCAAACAGAAGGGTAGACGGTTGGAAAAAGTCATGTGAGAAGGCGGTGGATGCCAAAATAGTCAGTTGTTTCATAACGTCTTATGAGAGAGTACTGGGAAGACGGAGCACCACAAACATAGCTCTCATCCTGTGTATATACACACACACACTTAGATAATTATGCTTTGGTAATTACATATATGCATGCACAGAGACGGACACCACTGCTTTTTCTCACTCTTTCTGTGGACCATGAAGTAAACAGCCTCATTGATTAGGCCATCACCAGGAAAGACTGTCTCTGGGTTAGGCTACAATAGTGTAATGTCTAAATCAACAGGCACTGTTCCATACACACTCGCAAACTTAAACACATTCATATACACATTCTTGTATATTATCACTCATGGTTCACACGTATGCATACACTTCAGGAATCTGTACACCAGATGATTGACAGTTGAGAGGCGGGATCATAAGAACGAAAGCTCAACCACCGCAAGCATAATTAGGTGAATACACTCACAAATGATTTGATACAATATTTTCTTTATACAGTACTTGTAAAGTAACTGTCACTAAGCTCTGTAATCCAGATAGAATGAATTCTATTAGAAAAAAAAAATGTAATCCTAATAGAATGGCAGTAACTGTTGGTCATTATTTTGGCAGGTACCCCAGGGATTCTGGTTAATTGAGGGCCAGATTAATAAGCAATAAGTTATGTCTACTATTTATTTATTTTAAGAGGTTTTATATTAGTCTGCTAGTAATGTTTATATCATTTTTTAATTGCTTGTTTTTCAGTGGCTGGCAGTAACCAGCGCAAAGGTTGCTTATGGGCACTGAATCCTGCCAAGGCTCATAAAATGGATGAAGAAGTTCAAAAGTGGAGCAAGAAAGATCTCCAAGGAATAAAAGATGCAATGGCATATCCAGGTATGTCACTTACCTTGAATATTTTCAATACAACTGGACACATTTTAACCTCTTATAGTTAGCCAACATTCTGTACCAGGAACATATTTAAGATTGAATTACTGTATATGATTAATTTTGATTATGAGTTGGTGTAGTTTTCTTTCACCCAGGAATGGGCCTTGTTACTTTGAACACGAGGTTTTGAGGCTGGGGGATGGGAGGGGGGGATAAAAAGTGGTGAAATCTCTTTACGTATAGGTTCTCCAGGTAGTCATCCATTATATGATAGGTTCATATTGAACATTTGTTCTGTGAACTTAGTCCTTGGTGCATGGGAAATATTAGGTTATGAATGGTAATTCCATTTAAATGGGTCTACATAAATACAGAAAATGCATATTAATTAAAAACACAATTTTATGGGGCAAATTAGAAAAAAGGTGGGGGGGGGGGTGCACATTTCTAGATTTTCAAATTCGGTCCAATCTACTAATCTACTATCATCTGGGTTTGGAAGTGTGCTTGTATGTATATTGTTACTAATTTGCTATGTCACTGTTTACAAAAATGCTTCGGGATCTAAGGGATTGCACCTAAGGTTTTAACAAAACAAAAGTAGATTGGTATCCGAGTACCGGGTATTGTATTGTATTGGTCCTTATGTAACATCGGATTATTAATAAAGGAATTGTTAAAAAGGTAGTATCAGTATTGGCCAAAATGTTGAAAGTGATACACCTTTAATGCATTGTTTATGTAGTGCTTAATATTTGTTTAACTACTACAGAAGTGCTGGAGGCATTAGAGCGAGGGGAAATGAAATTTGAGTCAAATGGAGGAGTGTCATCATGTAGCGAAGATGAAGATGAAGACGAAGAAATTGATCCTCTGGCAATTGACTCTCCTTCCACCCCTACAGTTGGGACAATGAAGGTAAGTTAATCTTTTTTTTTATATAATAAATATATATAATGATGTGTGTAAATCACAAAAATTAACACGCGATGAAAAATGCGACAGTGTCAGACCACAGAGGAAGAATTGAAACAGGAATTTCCTTAAGTACTTTCGTATATTAATACATCTTCAGAAGGAATGAATCAAAAATGAAGGAATTCATTCCTTCTGAAGATGTATTAATATATGAAAGTACTTAAGGAAATTCCTGTTTCAATTCTTCCTCCGTTGTCTGACACTGTCATATAATGATGTGAATAGGAATTTGTATGAGCCAATAGGCCTTCTATAGTTCCTTTATTATTATGTTATGTATGTTCAAAAGATGATTGGTTGACCCGATATACTTTACTTCATTACATCCACAGAGTTGTGAAAACATATGAACATAATTGGTACACACACATCTAGTTATAATGGAATTTTATATTGTGACTTACTGCATTGGCATAGTAATATTTGCAATAACTGCATTTGCATAGTAAGCAATCCTGAAAAAATAGGATTTTCTCATTTTTTCACACATTATGTGTTTGAGAGTTTATATATGAGGTCAAACTCCAAGGTCAGCCTAGCGTCTAACAGCTGTGTGGTTGGAGCTGCCGCAAATACATGAATATTTTAGTGTCTGCGTCCACTTCATTATATACCCCATTACACTCACGTGTAGTGGAGTATATAATCCCAAACCCATGTCTTCTCTGTATTTCTTGATAATGTGTTGAAACACGAAAACGTTCAGAATTTTTGTTATGTTTTCCTAGTGGATACTTACATAACCATCCTTACATAACCATGAAGAAAGTGTATCCTAGTGGATACACATTTTTCAATGTATAATTGAAAGCTATATTGCTACACTTCAGTAAAAAAAAATAATCTAGTAACTAGACACAAGTACACACTTAATCAGCACCACATTTCATACTTTCAAGGGATAAGGGCTTTATTATCCAGAGTTAAATGGAAAAAAAAGATATAAAGTTTATCAGGTGTATTCAGTTAATATTTTAACATATAATACTTTTTCAGATACTAAATACTCTTACTTCAACCATCGTAACTTCCAATCAGAGGGGAGGCCAAACCATTGTCAGTAATCAGCACATCAGACAGTCGGTGCAAAATGGTCGCATCCCTATATCCACAAGTGTTGCCCAGTCTGCCTCTACCCATACCAATGCTCGGTCTTCATTTACAACTCAGTCATTAAAGCGTAACTGTGTTACCTCTTCTGAAGAGCCCGAGTACATCCTTCCAGATTCAACCATGACAGAAATTAGTCTGCAGGTAATGTTCACTACATATTGTGCACAGGCTTAGTGATTTTTGTCTTGGTACATGTGTATAATATACAGTACAGTATATGAAATATTTGTTTCTTATAGAATGAAAAATTAATGACTTATTTTTTGTTAGTCCAATGGTGCTTTGGTTGATGATCTTGGAAATGAAATCAAGATAGAGGGAGAGACGTCCATCCACGCAAATCACTCTCCACGTGGCCTGGTTGTTCGTAAGCTACCAGGTGTAACTCCACTCAGGTCTGCCACTGTGCGTGCCAACTATGTGTACACGCCAACAATCTCATCTCCTCATCAGCAGCATACCCTAAATAGACTTGTCCTTACCAATGGCAAGTTGTCATAGTTAGTTGACATTTTTGCTCTATTTAATACATGGCATCTTTTTCATTTATACATCATCCTTAAAAGGGTCTATTTTTCCTTCGTTCATCCTAAAATTATTTGATTGTTCTCCCTCAGAGTAAATCTGAAGTGTGGTTGAGAGTAGTTTAGTGTACTTGATTATCCTAAATAATGAAAGTATTAGAAGTTTCAATTATTGTAGACATTATTAGAATGTACATTTCTTTTAGTGTCTTGAAATTTGAAGATAACAAGTGATGGATGGTTGTTGTGGTAATGTGTTGAGTGTTGGGAAGAGATGAGCCATGATGCATGGAAATCTTCCATTTTACTTGATGTCCTGCCCTGAAGAAAAAAAACAATTAATATTTGTTTTATGTATTTAAATGAGTAATTGGGCATCATTCTTTTACTTCCTCAATTTGATATTCGGATGTCATTTGAAAAATTTTCATGTCATTTAAGGATTCTCCTTCCTGGGTGGTGCTCTGTTAGTTCACATTTGATTTTTATGAAAGTATTAAAATACTCTATATTCATTACTTTCTTCCTCATAGTGCAAATTGTGACCTAGTATTCCATATCTGTACCTTCATCTTAAATGACTGTATATAAATTGTGATAACCAATAACCATAGGTTGTAAGTAGGAGGAGACTACCTGCCCTTGTGTGAGGCGTAAAGGTGCGAGAACAATTATGGCAAGCCTCGGCTGATGAATGCAACGTTGTAATGGAAAAGCAACTCTTCTTTTTGCATCCCTACAACTGAGACATTGTCTGAGTCCTGTGATAATCCTTTAAACTGAGACCGGGCAAACTTATGTACCTGAGAGAGTGTAATAGTACGATAGCAGGAGCATAGGTACTCTGTGGCCAGCTTATTTTATAATACAAATATATTTTCACTTAATTTAAAATAATTTTAGTATTTATGTATACAGTATGTTTTATTTTACAGTGATTCATATAAATAGGCAAACAGTCAGTTGGTAAATAGTTGTTCTGTGAGTCACTGTGTTAATTTATTTTTTCCTGTAGATTGCTGGGTTTTATTAGAGATAAAGCCAATCTTTAAAATACATTTTTATTCTTCTAATAAACCATATTTAGTTTAATAAATTTGCATAGCAAATGTCAATTTTGACATTAATTTGCAATGTTCATATTGGCCACAGAAAAACCTGCTCCATGTCTGCCAGCAAGAGTCCTTCCCTTAGGGGATTTAAAAGAGGGAGACTAGTTAGTTAACTTCTTTTACAACTGCTATTCAGGGACAGCAGTGGTTGGTATCAGCTCTCACTATTATATATATTTAGTGGAGGTTTCTTGGTATTAATCATTGTCTTCATTCCTCTATTTTCCTTGGTGGCAAGGTCAAAATTTGGGCCATTGTTGGTACTTTTTTTTTTTAACATGAAATTAAGAAAAAAAAATCAGTATTGACTTGGGCTTTCTTTGGTGAAATCCCATACATTATTGTTAGGCATTCCTCCAAAGGAATAAACTTGGTTTTTCACTGAATGAATTATTTTGCTCATTTGTTTCCAAGTATTATATTTTAATCAACTTTCCTAATAGGAGCTTAAAATTGAGTACATGTGCAGGGATTAATAATTTGCATATGGACTTGCTCCTTTCCATATACTACTAGTCGTTCATTGTTTTCACTGTAATTCTTGTATGTGCAAGATGTAAATTTTAAGAATTAGATAAAATTGGATCTCCATTAGACCATAAATGTTAAATAAAAGTGTAACCTGAGTAGAAGTAATCAGTAGATGCTATTAACCTGAAATCTTCCTAAGTGTAAGCAGTGCAAAGTTAGCTTTTTTATACTTTTGTATGTTGAACTTTTGTACATAAAGTTTCCATTCTTTTTATTTCTGCTACTAACAGTGCTCATGTACATGAGTACCTGGAGTTGAACCAGCAGAAACACTGGCCTAGAATGATCTTGGCTGTAAATATTGTATTATTCATAGATTTTTTTGTATGAAATGTATTAAAAATTAAAAAATATCAGTGTGTTATTTGTCTTGTATCTATTGAGAAATATGTCTCTTCTCCATGTCTGTATGATACATGCTGAAATGCTGTTTCAATTTGTATTGGTGTGTTTTTATACTTGCATCTGTGGCACATTCGACCATTCTCAACCCTATGACCGCATTAAGCCGTATTGGTTGCCACTAGAAAAGCAATACTAGAATTAGATAAGTGACCAGAGTCCTTGTACCTAGATTTAAATCTCTCGAAAACTATAGGTCCTCCAGTTTTCAAAACACTCCCACAGATCCCGGTGACAGATTTTACTTCATGTGGTACTCCCAAAATCTGCAATTATGTTAAACCTTTAGGCAGCTGACATTGTCACGTGTCGATTCACAGGGTAATGTGTACATATGAAGATTTATAACAATTATTGTCTGAGTTTTACATATTCAATGCAAATATGGACATAATAGGTCTATGTGGTTGTAATGGAGTTTACTTTGACACATGAAAAAAGCTTGCCACCAGTTTGTGGTACAAATGTGGTTGTCATGAATGTTACTAGGGTAATGCAGTCATCATCATATGATGATTTAAACAATTCTTGTCTCGGTTTTATATTAATAACGCAGATATGGATGTAATAGCTTTTTTTTTTTAACACTTGAGTTTTCTTTTACTTCCACAATCTGTGAAACATCTGAGGATAAAATAGGAAGTGTCAGCAAAGTCCAAATCCAGGCGTTAAGGGCCAGAGAAACTATGAATATTAATTTATTTTTGCATTTTCTTACATTTTACATACAGAATTAATAAATATAATGAAAAACCAAATTTTGGTATTTTTATTTTTTTGTGTACAAGCGGGTATGACCATTTCTTTACAGCCGGTGTCTAAGGGCCAGCACCCCTTTACTTCACAAGAGTTTCACCTTGGGGCAAGGGGAACTCATGTATGACTTTTTGGGGAGTGTGGACATTGCCTGTACCCCTATCCAGGTATTATACTGTGGTCTTCAAGAGTTCTGCTTTGTGATATGGCTTAAGTGGACTCGACTGGCTGTCTTCCATCAAGCTAATGCTGTTTTCAAATTTGAAGGCCCTTTTGCTATTTTTTGGCAACATATCACATGCTACACTCTAGGATTATGATTTTGGTGCTCTAAATGCTGGCAGCTTGGTATTTAGTAAATGCTTTTTGCCAGCATGAGACCTGTATTGCATTGTTGCTTCACCTGGTATTGATTTCCTGTGAGGTATTTCTCCCTTCTCATGTTAAGCCTGGGTACTTCTTCCTTTCCAGGGAGCTTAATTACTTGGACTGAATGTTGGAGTGAGTCTTGCTTCTTGCAGAATGACGTTCAATTCCCGACCATCCAAGTGGTTGGGCATCATTCCAGTCCTTCATCCTATTCCAAGACCTTACCTAATTATCTTGCCTTACTTTTTGGAGCATGAGTTTCTCCTTTCCCCATAGTAAGTTAGCTCACAGCTACCAAGGCAAGTACTCCTTGAAATAAAAGTACCTAGTGTAATAAATATATATATTTTTTGTGGGTCTTGAGTAGCTCTGCATTCAAGATGTTGTTTGGGGGCGGAGGTAGAAAGGGTAGTGTATTTGGGCTAGGCAAGAATGAGTCTGGTGACATTCAGATACTATTAACCAGTGCTGCCAGCTAGTGTTCTGGATAAGTGACAGACCTCTGGTTCAACCCAAGTAATAATTGTTTGCAGAGTTAAAAGAATGTTGCAAATATTTACCATACAGTAGCCTGTTTTGGTGTGCTGTATGTTTCTGCTGTTTTTTCCTCATAGGTACTGATTGTGGTGATCCTAGATACCCAGACCCTCCTGTCTTTATTGAGGGTGCCTGAATCTGTTCCTGGTCTCTGGTACCAGTGACTGATATTTCATTAAATTCAATGCTGAAATTAAAAAAAAATTGGTTTACAAGGTACATACTGCATCATAATATATTTTAACCGAGCTTTGCATAATATGAAGTCTCCCTCTCACACTTCTGGGACTCACTCTCACTTGTTTTCTACCTAATTAATGAGATAGAAAGATAAATTACACACAAAAAGTTCACCCAGTAATTTCTTCAGTAATAAATACATTAAACAAAATTTTCAAAGGAGTTGGCTTATCACACAGAAGTATTTAATTTTTATCACAACCTGCACTACACTTTTTGAAGGTGAAATAAACATGAGAAATATAGTAAAGTTTAATATGTTGTGAAAAGCTTTTACATTGTGTAAGTATCTCAATATGATTATACAGTGAGACCATGCTTGAGTGCATCGAGGTGAACTAGAAACAATTAGGAAAACAAAATGATTATAAATAGAACTATACTATGGAAGTATTAGTATGACTTGTACCTTTACAAAATTTAATGTTTAGTATGACAACTGTATTTGTACTTTCCACAAGACATCAGCCTGTGGTTGCATGTTAAACAGAGCAGTAACCTGCCTTTCCATGAGAACTGAGAGAGAGGAATGATGACGGCTTTTAAAGGATAACGGGTGATGGAATCACTATGTTTAACATTTCTAAAACTCTCCTTTCCCTGAACCTCTCCATTATTCAGTAATCTCCTTCATCCACTACAAAAAACCACCAATTCATCCCCTCGATCTAGAATGGTGGATTAAATCAGGCGAGGCAAGGTTGCTGGCTCTCTGTGTCTGCATGCCTGCTTGGCTGGCTGGACAAATCTGCCTGACTACTTGTGTACTTGCTGGCTTGCTTGGTTGACCGACTGGCCAGCTGCCAGCCTGCTTGGCAGGCTTGCCGGGTATATCAGTCTGTCTGTCTACTTGCTTTGCTGGCTGTGCTTCTGCCTGCCTGCATGCTTGGCTTGCTGTGACAGATGGTTGGCTGCCTGCTTGGTTGGCTGTGTTTGTCTCATTGATTTAACAAGACTGATTTTATAGTCTCATCTATTAATGTCTCATTCACCCACAAGCAAACATGCAGACACTGGCACACACACGCACAGTTTATGAGACAGTGAGTGACAGACAACCATGAACTCAGTGATTGTGTGTGTGTTTACCTATCAGTATTTACCAAGAGAGGTATACCCTGTACATACCCATACTCTCTGGGCATACCACATAAGCAATTTATTGCCTACTCTGTGCTTTAAATTTCTTGAATATCTATTTTTTTTTAGTAAAAATATTGGTGTACTTATTGACTTCTGGTTCACCTTCCAGTATATTTAAAATGCATTTATTTCATGTCATTTGGATGTGTAAATAAGCACAAAGATGTGTCCTATAATTTTGAGCGAAGACGATACACAAGAATTGGAAAAAATGACAAAAATGCTTAGTGAACTGGAATCTTGGGTGAAGCAGAAAGGGTTTAGTACCAATTAGTGTGTTCGTGTAACGTGCCGCTGTACAGCACACACTTGTATTACCTAGTCAATCATCGCCATACTTCAATCAATCCAATCAGGATTCCAGAAATTCTCTGGTGTGTTTGCCACTGGGTTGTGCTTGCTGCGGTGGCGGGAGCATTTGTTCATCATCATCTGCGCACAAAGTCACAATTATTAAATTAAAATGCATACTGTACTGCATATTCAAATTACAATATTATCGTAAAATACAAACATGCCTTTATGCACTTTACTCTCACATTAAAAAAATTAATGAGCTAATACCTAGTAGAAGGAGTGCTTAAGGGGGTGTCATTCGGGTATCATAAAGTTGTTGTTTAGTGTCAACCATTATTTTTGACTAGTTGTATATGAAAAGGGCTACAATTGTTCGAAGTTTCAGCACTGTAGCCTAAATAGTAAGGGAGATTTTTAATTTTTTTATTTTTTTCAACGAATTTTACACATTTTCAAGTGTAAATTTACAACCACACCTTTCAGATATAATCATCCTATGACACTTTTCTGACACATTAACATATAATAAAGGATCTCTAGCAAAAGATTTTCCAAAACGTCTTTAGTTTTCCTAATACAAATAGTCTAAGTTCCCCCCCAAAATTATGCAAATATATCATGTTTATTGCTATTATAAAGTCAATAAAGAACTCAAGATAAAAACATTTGCCAACGATTTTAGAGACATAAAATTTATATATAATGTGTAAGTTTCATGTAAATTGCATAAAAAATGAAAAAGATATTCATGTTCAAGTAACATAAACTTTCAAGTAAGTAAAAAATAAAGTCTAAGGTGTTGCCCTCTGTGGCTGAAGTTGACATCAACCAATTTCCTCCAAAATTGGCACCCTTACAGATAGGCTTACGTGCAGTCAGGTGTATAAGTTTCATGCAAATCGCCCCATAAACAAAAGAGAGAGATAAAATTAAATAAAAAAAAAGAAAAGTGAAATTTGACTTTTTTTTTTTTTTAACTAAATTTTTTGTTAATAAAACTAATTATAATTTGTTTTTAATATATGCTATTGTGATACCTGTGAGTCATAGACATGATTTCAGTTGACATTTTTGTTTGATAATCTTTTTTGACCATTTTTGAAAATTTTTGACACATAATTCAATATTTTTTTTCATCCTTCCTATTTATGCTACGATGCTGAGACTTGGACCAAATGAAACCCTTTTCATATACAACTTGTCAAAAAAGTTTGATTGAAATTGAACGAGTTTTCATTTTTTGCATATTTTGTGAATAACCCCCCCTTAAGCTACTCAAATACAGTACTTGCCAGTAAAATATATGAGTGTAAATAATAATATACAAAATCTTAAATCTTAAGAATACAAACTGAACAATGTACAAGGCCAACACAAGACATGACCAACCAAATTTCCCAATCTGATGATGGGGAAACTGTATGCAGTAAAAGTTACAGAATAGAAAGAGGAAAAGTAAAACAAACTATAAAAAATGGAACTGATAATACTGAAATACTACTGTCTGATCAAAAACCTTACCCATGCCAGACCAGGCCCTCATCTCACTGCCGCACGCAAGCCAAGTCACAGAGAAACTTTATCCCGAGGAGCTAACAATTCCTAACCCCCATTAGAGGCCGAATCACATTAGTAAAATCAAGTATGACATAATCCAAGCCTGTAACATTCAAGTAAGCCTCTTCTTGAGGTTATCTTGAGATGATTTCGGGGCTTTTTAGTGTCCCCGCGGCCCGGTCCTCGACCAGGCCTCCACCCCCAGGAAGCAGCCCGTGACAGCTGACTAACACCCAGGAACCCGGGACCACAGGATCACAAGTCCCGTGTGCTGTCCGCTCGGTCGACCGGTTCCCTAAACAAAACTTCCGGTTCTCTACAAAATATCCCAGCACCTTCAGACCCCAGCCCAGAACACACAACAGATGGGGACCAAAAGAAAAAGGGCAGCTCAGCTACTCTTTCATCACCGGCCTGGACAGGGCACCAAAGGAAAAGGAAGTGACCTAGGTACACCATACAAAACACCACTCAATATAAAAGTATCCACTGGAGACCACAGCCCAGTTGCCAGAGTCCATAAGGGGCATTGTGCAGGTATACCTGGTTGATGGGGTTCTGGGAGTTGTTCTACTCCCCAAGCCCGGCCCGAGGCCAGGCTTGACTTGTGAGAGTTTGGTCCACTAGGCTGTTGCTTGGAGCGGCCCGCAGGCCCACATACCCACCACAGCCCGGTTGGTCTGGCACTCCTTGGAGGAATAAATCTAGTTTCCTCTTGAAGATGTCCACAGTTGTTCCGGCAATATTTCTTATGCTTGCTGGGAGGACGTTGAACAACCGCGGACCTCTGATGTTTATACAGTGTTCTCTGATTGTGCCTATGGCATCTCTGCTCTTCACTGGTTCTATTCTGCATTTTCTTCCATATTGTTCACTCCAGTACCTTGTTATTTTACTGTGTAGATTTGGTACTTTGCCCTCCAGTATCTTCCAGGTGTATATTATTTGATATCTCTCTCGTCTTCTTTCTAGTGAGTACATTTGGAGGGCTTTGAGACGATCCCAATAATTTAGGTGCTTTATTGCGTCTATGCATGCCGTATATGTTCTCTGTATTCCCTCTATTTCAGCAATCTCTCCTGCTCTGAAGGGGGAAGTGAGCACTGAGCAGTACTCAAGACGGGACAACACAAGTGACTTGAAGAGTACAACCATTGTGATGGGATCCCTGGATTTGAAAGTTCTTGTAATCCATCCTATCATTTTTCTGGCTGTCGCAATATTTGCTTGGTTATGCTCCTTAAACGTTAGGTCGTCAGACATTATTATTCCCAAATCCTTTACATGCTGTTTTCCTACTATGGGTACATTTGATTGTGTTTTGTACTCTGTATTATGTTTAAGGTCCTTATTTTTACCATACCTGAGTACCTGGAATTTATCACTCTTAAACATCATGTTATTTTCTGATGCCCAGTCGAAAACTTTATTAATATCAGCTTGAAGTTTTTCAGTGTCTTCAGCCGAGATAATTTTTTTGTCATACTGATGCTCCTTTTTGTGTACATCTGCAAAGGATGATTGTGTTTTGTACGAAGCTGTGACTTGTATTTTTGTCTATACGTATCTGATATGAGAATAAGGAAAAGCAGCGGTGCAAGGACTGTAAGGAAAAGCAGCGGTGCAAGGACTGTACCCTGAGGTACAGAGCTTTTAACTGCACTTGGACTAGATTTTATATGGTTGACCGTTACTCGCTGAGTCCTGTTTGACAGAAAACTGAGTATCCAGCGTCCTACTTTACCGGTTATTCCCATTGACTTCATTTTGTGTGCTATCATGCCATGGTCACATTTATCGAAAGCCTTTGCGAAGTCCGTGTATATCACATCATCGTTCTGTTTTTCTTCTAATGCCTCAGTGACTGTCGTAGTGCTCAAGTAGCCGTGAGAGGCACGATCTTCCCGGTCGAAATCCATGTTGGCCTGGGTTGTGAAGGCCATTGGTCTCCATGAAAATGGTGACCTGACTCCTAATCACTCTCTCAAATACTTTTATGATGTGCAATGTTAGTGCAACTGGTCTATAATTCTTTGCCAATGCTTTGCTCCCTCCCTTGTGTAGAGGGGCTATGTCTGCTACTTTAAGTGCATCTGGTATCTCCCCCGTGTCCAAGCTCTTCCTCCACACTATACTGAGTGCCTGTGCTACCGGCACTTTGCATTTCTTTATAAATATTGAATTCCATGAGTCTGGGCCTGGGGCCGAGTGCATGGGCATGTTTTCAATTTCTCTTTCAAAATTTAGTGCGCTCGTGTTGATATCAGTTTATTTACAGGGGTTTGAATATCCCGCATAAAGAAGTTGTCCGGATCTTCCACTTTCATGTTGTTTATTGGAGTGCTAAACATGTCCTCATACTGCTTTTTTAGGATTTCACTAATTTCTTTGTCATCCTCCGTGTATGAACCTTCACTTGTACGAATAGGTCCAATACTGGCAGTGGTTTTTGCTTTTGATTTCGCATATGTGAAGAAATATTTTGGATTTTTCTTTATTTCCTGAATTGCTTTCTGTTCTAACTGCCTTTCTTCAGTTTCATATGAGTGTTTCAATTTCCGCTCGATTTCTTCAATCTCCCTATTTAAATTATTCCTTCTTTGACGGGAAATTCGTGTCTGCATAAGCAGTTTCGTTATTTTTTTCCTGTGTTTATAGTGTCGTCTGCGTTCTCTTTCTACGTTGGATCTCTTTCTGGCTTTCCTCAAAGGAACATGTTTCAGACAGACTTGATATGCTTCCGAAGTCAGTTTTTCTATTCCTTCTGTAGGACTTGTATTACTTAGAACAGTTTCCCATGGAATGTTTGTAAGTTCCCTGTTTATTATCTGTTTATAAGTTGAATTTACTGAATAGCCCCTCTCGCTTTATCAACGTTTTAGGTCTATTCTGAGTATTGATGGTCGTTTGCACTTCAATGAGCTTGTGATCTGAGTATGTGGTATCTGATATCGTAATGTCTCTGATAATGTCTTCATTGTTTGTAAAGACCAGATCTAAAATATTTTCATTTCTCGTTGGCTCTGATATCTGCTGATTGAGTGAAAATTTGTCACAGAATCTAAGTAGTTCTCTAATCTGTGGTTGGTTAGGTCCCGATAGATTTCCTGGTATAATATTATTGTTTGCTATTTTCCACCTGAGACTAGGCAAGTTGAAGTCACCTAGGAAGATAATATCAGGTATCGGGTTCTCCAAATTATCAAGGCTATTCTCTATTTTGTTTATCTGTTCTGTGAATTCCTCAGCCGTTGCATCTGGCGGTTTGTATATTAGAATAATCACTAAATTTATTTTCTCTATTTTTAATCCCAGTACCTCTACCACCTCATTTGTAACGTTTAGGAGCTCCGAGCATACAAGGTCTTCCCTAATATACAGACCCACTCCTCCATGTGACCTAATTTTCCTATCACACCTGTATAGGTTATATCCTGGAATCCAGATCTCACTGTCCAACAATTCCCCTGCATGGGTTTCTGTGAAACCTCCAAATACTGCATTTGACTCCGTGAGGAGGCCATTTATTAACTGTGCTTTGTTGTTTGTTCTTGTTTTCAGTCCTTGTATGTTGGCAAAGATGAATGAGATTACTCTATTAGTGATAGTTTGAATGGGAGACTTTTTCGGCAAGCCCATTATGCGTGGATAGTTAGGTGAACAATCCTGGACCATCAGGTAAAGAACATAACCCCCCCCCCCTGCACATCATAGAGAATGGCCAGAATAAATAGCAGAGGCGACATGTCCACCTGGCTCAACACTTATGAACAACAATACCTAGGTTACTTGTATAAAGGAGGAAATGTATATGTTTATCTCTCAGAATGTTTGGTAATATGTTTATTGTTTGTGATGTGTGTATATGTATGTATTAACACGATGTACTGAACGGGGTGAGAATAGCTTGAGCTACCTCATCCCTTTGTGTGTATTTAACCTCAATAAACTTATTTCAATTTCAATTTCAATACCTAGGAGGCACCATGAAGGAGTAAACAAGAGTCTGTAAATCACAAGGTTGTTGATTCACCAACTCTTCGAAACTTCAAACATGTCAGAAGGATGCCCCACTAAAATGTAACAAACCCAAACCTCACAGCTTCCAGCAAAGGTCATTGACCAAGACCATATGCAGGGCAGTAATGTTCCAGTCTGACCCAGAAATCCAGCCGCAAAACGAGAAAGACCTACAAACAGCGAAAGGACTCCCATCCTCAAAAGGCAGAATAATGGAAGAAGCAGGAGTATCCATCAGAGGCACGAGAACTCAACACACCTGAGACAGCACACAGCAGTTTCAAACACAAAGACTGGTGGGAGAAGGGTGAGAGAGATGCCACACTACACTCACCAGCCAGTTACAATGCAACCTTCTGGAAAACAGGAGCAAAGACAACAAAACAGCCACATATGAAAGATTGCATTAAATTCACTGTGCATACCACATAATAGGGCAATATTAAACACATAAGCTTAAGTTTAAAATTAGATGAACTCCATCCCCCAGGCCCCACAAAGGGGCCAATGCCTATGCATAACCTGGTGGTATGACACCTTGAGGCAGTGGCGGCCTGTAGATGAGGAAGCCGAAGTCCCCTACAGGAAATAACCCTAGAGGCGCCTGGGCAATGCAAGCCACTAACCAGTTAAGCAAACCCTGGCCACATGCAGCTGAAGCAAACTAATAATAAGAGAACATGAAACATATGGCACAGAACTACAAGTGAAGCAACTTTTCAGAAGAATAAGCAATGGGCCCACATGGAACCTGGAATGGTCACACCACTTATCTGAAAGCTGAAGGCACTGCAGAGAAGTGTGTAACCAAATGGATCCCCGACATGGAAATGAGCTGGTAGGCTGCTTAGAGCCCATAGTTTTTGGGGCCACCATCTGATAACGAATGAGGGTTCTATGTTGCAATTAAGCAGTGATAAGGGGTTTATAAGGTTAGAGAAAGAATTCTCTCTTTTTTTTTTTTTTTTTTTTTTTTTTTTTTTTTTTAGTAGTTGCTTGCTTTAGAGGGTCTTCCTTTCTGTTGGTACTGAAGTGAACCTCTATACACTTCCCTGGCTGACTTTAGCTTCTTCCATGGGGGCCATCTTGTAGCACTGAGGAGCTACAGAGGGGCTTCCTACAAAATTCACTCGTGATGTGGATAGAACAAAAAGGAGCAATGGCCCTGCACAGAACAAAAATATAAAAGGACAGCAAACACAGTACCAGACAAATAAGTGAGATGGCAGCCACTAAGTGGCCTGCCATCTGGTGGCCGCCTAGGAAGTTAGGGTTAGAGTTGTCCACCTGCAGCAAACTACCAGTTGAGATGTTTTTTATGTTTAATTTCTTACTTTCAAGCAGTTGTTTACTTTGCTTTGTCTGATTCTCTGGTCGGTTTTCCTAAGCTTTGGGTAGATAGCTCTCCGATCAGCAGGGTCCCCTTACTGTATAGAGAACTAGATTCTGGTCCTGGCTCCCAGTAAGTCATTGTGGGTCTTCAAGGCCTAGCATTGTTACGGCAGTAAGTACTGGAGAGCTACTGAAGCATGCCTTCCCAAAAATATTAATTTGTTAAGAATTTTCACATTAGATACAATAGATACCACAGGATATAACTTCAAATTGAGCCATTTAGAGATAAATTTAAGCTCATGCTGTGTGATATGGCAACCTATCTTATAACAAGGATAAAATATCTGAAATCCTTGCCCTGTATCCATATTTTGCTTCCAGTAGATACCACAGGATATAACTTCAAATTGAGCCATTTAGAGATAAATTTAAGCTCATGCTGTGTGATATGGCAACCTATCTTATAACAAGGATAAAATATCTGAAATCCTTGCCCTGTATCCATATTTTGCTTCAGTAGATAAAGACACATGAGATTAAGAAACAAGTAGTGTATTGTGAAGACTAATAATAAACAGCAGCTCCCCAATAACTGTAATATCTCAATTGCTCAAACAATTCTGTGTTAGCAATAAGACCTACCATCAATGTATAATTACTTACTGTAAATATATAGCTTTTGAAATAGAACATTCTCTGTAACTATAAGGTGTGATATTGTAATTATAAGGTGTGAAGGACAAATGGAGATGTGTATGTAATAATCTAAGATGAGCTCTGATAAAGACCTTTTGTGCCCTCTGTAATGCTTTTTCCGCTACCCTCACAGGATGAGTATGGGGTGCACAATAAACTAGCCGCCTCCAGCAGCAACAATCAAAATATCAACGACATTGTTTTTTTTTTAATGGGGAGGGGGAGAGAGAGGGGGCAGGGATTTAGGTCTCAAGCCAGGAACTGGAACATGTTTGGTTATTTAGTAATGTGCTTTCCTTAGAACAATACCATCTTGATGAGGATTAGAAAAAAAAAAAGAGTCCTCTTACTTGTACAGTTTAAGTGCTTGTCTCACCACTACACCACAGTCTACCAATTCTGCCACTGTTCTCTATTTCTATATTTAGTAAAGCAGAGAAAAACTATCGTTTCACAAACTCGCCTTGCAAAAATCTATTTCCTTATTTTTAAGCCACTTTCTGTAATTTATATATTCATTTTCAATGTGATTATATAATTTATATATATCACAAAATTTATAAAGGAAATAATCATCTTACTTGTCACTATATTTAATATTTTTTATAACACATTCAGTAAGCAATTTAAATACTGTATTAACAAGAAACATTTGAATATACAGTATTATGAACTAGTATGATTTTAACACCACAAAACTAAGTTTCTGACATCCCATAACATTCTAAGATTTACAGGACCCAAACTGGCTTTTAATATTAGTAAATAATATAAAGAGAAAAAAGAGACTTACCTCTTTCTCTTGTGAGTTAACAGCTGCATACCACTGTTCACATTCCTGACAATTCCAGCCCTTCAACTGCTTGCGGGCCGCCTTCTTCCGGACCACTTCGCCACGGTGGGCAAAATCGGGCTCCTTTGTAATTGGAAGGACGTCAAAGCTGAATGGATAATAAAGCAGCTTTGAAATTGAATGAAAAAAAATCACAATTGAATTTAATGATATGTTCCATTCCATTCACTCAAAAAAGGAATTATTGGCAAAGTAGGGAAATTTATCTTTAATTTCCTAGCAATCAGAACCTAATAATAGTTAAATTAATACTATTAGTTTAATGCTTAAACTAATAGTATTAATTTGATCCCAAAGGAAGAAAGAGCTGAACAAGAAGAATGTGTCCCAAACGAATGGAATTGCAATGGGTTTGATTATAATAAAGATTCAAAGTAATATTCCTTTTCATTCTTCCCCAAGGTTAACACTAAAGATATTTTTTAAGCTTAGCATGTGGTGCTATGCTGTGTTAGGAGTTCATTGCCACACCCACCAGAACTGTAGTGGTTCATTGTGATGCATACAAATGTAGACAGTTTATATATATATATATATATATATATATATATATATGTCGTACCTAGTAGCCAGAACGCACTTCTCAGCCTACTATGCAAGGCCCGATTTGCCTAATAAGCCAAGTTTTCATGAATTAATTGTTTTTCGACTACCTAACTTACCTAACCTAACCTAACCTAACTTTTCGGCTACCTAACCAAACTTAACCTATAAAGATAGGTTAGGTTAGGTTAGGTAGGGTTGGTTAGGTTCGGTCATATATCTACGTTAATTTTAACTCCAATAAAAAAATTTACCTCATACATAATGAAATGGGTAGCTTTATCATTTCATAAGAAAAAAATTGAAAAAATATATTAATTCAGGAAAACTTGGCTTATTAGGCAAATCGGGCCTTGAATAGTAGGCCAAAAAGTGAGTTCTGGCTACTAGGTACGACATATATATATATATATATATATATATATATATATATATATTTATATATGTCGTACCTAGTAGCCAGAACGCACTTCTCAGCCTACTATGCAAGGCCCAATTTGCCTAATAAGCCAAGTTTTCATGAATTAATTGTTTTTCGACTACCTAACCTACCTAACCTAACCTAACCTAACTTTTTTGGCTACCTAACCAAACCTATAAAGATAGGTTAGGTTAGGTTAGGTAGGGTTGGTTAGGTTCGGTCATATATCTACGTTAATTTTAACTCCAATAAAAAAAAATTGACCTCATACATAATGAAATGGGTAGCTTTATCATTTCATAAGAAAAAAATTAGAGAAAATATATTAATTAAGGGAAACTTGGCGTATTAGGCAAATCGGGCCTTGCATAGTAGGCTGAGAAGTGCGTTCTGGCTACTAGGTACGACATATATATATATATATATATATATATATATATATATATATATATATATATATATATATATATATATATATATATATATATATATATATATATATATATATATATTTATATATATATATATTAGTATATTTTGGTAGCAGTCTTTCTTGTAAACATATGTTGTTAAATATGACCGAAAAAGTAAGATTAATAATTCTAACACGAATTTTCTCAATATTTCTTATGTTTCTTTTTACTGTCGATGGTAATTGAAAAATCAATTCTCCAAAATTCATTTTATTTCTAGTCTGACGCGGCGCTTGAACGCGTTTCGTAATAACTTGTTACATTTTCAAAGACTTTAGATTACACACACACAACTGTAACCTGAAAACACTAAACAGAGTTTTACTTAATTCTAACATTGAACAGCTTGTCTTATATACTCACATTTGGGCGAGGTTATATGTTGCAACAGTTTTGGATGAGGTGAACAAACTTTTGACCAACACAAGACAGAACACAGTGCAATGGGTATAAATGAGATAAATGAGAGGGAAGAATGGAAGTAACTGCAAAGGGCCTATTAGCCCATACTTCCTCTTGATGCTTCTATATTGGTATGGAGTGGAAATCCTTCCTTCTGAAGGAATTCTCCTTCTGAACTCCTTCTGAAGATGTATTAATATACGAAAGTACTTAAGGAAATTCCTGTTTCCATTTTCCTCCATGGTCTGACACTGTCACATTTTTAATCACGTGTTTATTTTCGTGATATACACACACACACATTATAATTAATTAATTAATTAATTAATATATATATATATATATATATATATATATATATATATATATATATATATATATATATATATATATATATATATATGTCGTACCTAGTAGCCAGAACGCACTTCTCAGCCTACTATGCAAGGCCCGGTTTGCCTAATAAGCCAAGTTTTCATGAATTAATTGTTTTTCGACTACCTAACCTACCTAACCTAACCTAACCTTACTTTTTCGGTTACCTAACCGAATCTAACCTATAAAGATACGTTAGGTTAGGTAGGGGTGGTTAGGTTTGGTCATACAGTGGTACCTCGGAATGCGATTGTCCCTGTATGCGAGGTTTTCGGAAGGCGAGGTGTATTTACTCCAAAAATTTGTCTCGGAAGGCGATGGTTACTTCGGGAGGCGAGTTTGGACGCGAGTTTGTTGATACGCGTACAGCCGACCTAGCGCGTGGTGGTTCGGCGATCGTCGCCCCTCTGCCCCGCCGCCCCTCAGTTTATTATTGTCTCGCGCTCAGTGACTACCCCCACATCAATTCTTCTCGCGGATTTTCAGTGTTTTGTTGGATTTTTGGTGATTTGTCTATACAATTTGTTATTATATATCTCACCATGGGTCCCAAGAAAGCCAGTGGTAAGGATAAAGGCCAGAAAGCTCATGTGAGGATGACAATAGAGGAGAAACAAGAGATCATTCGGAAGCATGAGAACGGTACACGTGTTGTTGAACTTTGTAGGCAGTACAACAAAGCCACATCAACAATATGCACTATACTTAAGAAGAAAAATAAGATTATGGGTGCTAAAGTGGCAAAAGGAGTAAGAACATTAACGGCACAAAGACCACAAATACTTGAAGAAGTGGAAAAGTTGTTATTAATTTGGATACACGACAAGGAGTTGAGGGGTGATAGTGTTTCGGAGGCCATTATTTGTGAGAAAGCCAGGGTGTTGCACGAAGACCTTCTAAAGAATACCCCTGCAACGAGTGATGCAGATAAGAAAGAGTTTAAGGCAAGCAGGGGCTGGTTTGAAAAATTTAGAAAGAGAAGTGGTATCCATAGTGTTACAAGGCATGGGGTTATGTGATGTGATTATGGAAGGGGACTCCCCTTCCAAACAGTAACTCCTCTCCTCCTCCCCCCTCCTCACCATCTTCCATACGCTTACAGCACTCGACAGCAAGGTAAGTAATAACTGGAACACAGTTTTGTAGGTTTATTTAGATGAATTAGGTAAATTAGGTATAAAAATTTAGTTTGATGTGGGGTTTTTGGGGTAGTCAGGAACGGATTAATTCATTTCCCTTTATTTCTTATGGGGAAATTAACTTCGGAATGCGAGTTTTCGGAAGGCGAGGCGTCTCCAGGAACGGATTAAACTCTTATTCTGAGGTATGCCTGTATATCTACGTTAATATTAACTCAAATAAAAAAAAATTGACCTCATACATAATGAAATAGGTAGCTTTATCATTTCATAAGAAAAAAAAATTGAGAAAATATATTAATTCAGGAAAACTTGGCTTATTAGGCAAATCAGGCCTTGCATAGTAGGCTGAGAAGTGCGTTCTGGCTACTAGGTACGACATATATATATATATATATATATATATATATATATATATATATATATATATATATATATATATATATATATATGTCGTACCTAATAGCCAGAACGCACTTCTCAGCCTACTATGCAAGGCCCGATTTGCCTAATAAGCCAAGTTTTCATGAATTAATTGTTTTTCGGCTACCTAACCTACCTAACCTAACCTAACCTAACTTTTTCGGCTACCTAACCTAACCTAACCTATAAAGATAGGTTAGGCTAGGTTAGGTAGGGTTGGTTAGGTTCGGTCATATATCTATGTTAATTTTAACTCCAATAAAAAAAAGTTGACCTCATACATAATGAAATGGGTAGCTTTATCATTTCAAAAGAAAAAAATTAAAGAAAATATATTAATTCAGGAAAACTTGGCTTATTAGGCAAATCGGGCCTTGCATAGTAGGCCAAAATGTGCGTTCTGGCTATTAGGTACGACATATATATTATATATATATATATATATATATATATATATATATATATATATATATATATAATGTCGTACCTAGTAGCCAGAACGCACTTTTATGCCTACTATGCAAGGCCCGATTTGCCTAATAAGCCAAGTTTTCCTGAATTAATATATTTTCTCTATTTTTTTCTTATGAAATGATAAAGCTACCCATTTCATTATGTATGAGGTCAATTTTTTTTAATGGAGTTAAAATTAATGTAGATATATGACCAAACCTAACCAACCCTACCTAACCTAACCTAACCTATCTTTATAGGTTAGGTTGGGTTAGGTAGTAGAAAAATTTAGGTTAGGTTAGGTAGGTTAGGTATTATTATATATATATATATATATATATATATATATATATATTATATATATATATATATATATATATATATATATATATATATATATATATATATATATATATATATATATATATATATATATATATTGTGACGATAATCTCTTTCAAGAGAGATTGAGCCTGCTCTTCCCTACAAAATTTACGTCATCCAAGTACAAGATACTATATTGAAGATACGTCCACCAGTATCGCCAAACATTTTGCCCAGGAAGCAAAGCGTACCTTGCACCACCAGACACACCGGCTCCCGCCCGCCGTCAAACCAGCAAACTACTCATTCTCCGCCTGCCTGTTCCTGATTGGCTGGTGTGTCGCCGCACCTGCACTCACGCCACTACCTGAGTCGACGTCTGGGCCAGCACACGCCGTACTCCTCAGAATATCTCTGTGCTCTTTGGAGTTGACATCTCTCTATAGTAGACAAAGCTCTGGCTGTCGTGTACTAAGGGAGGTGGCAGCTTGAAGCCAGTATTCTCAGCACCTGATTTGATTTATATCATTACTATTACTTGCACTTTATTTTGTCTTAGAGTAAATTTACTGCCATTAATTATTCATGTTGTTTTGTTTGTTGACTTATTTTGAATTTTACGTAAGCCAAGAGATTGTCTTTATTCATATCTTGTTTTCTAGAGTAATTAAAATTTCATTGTTTATACTTTGTGTTTTGTGTGTCTTCCCATTACCTTACCACAGACAAACGGGCAAACGATCTTCTTTTTTTTTTTATCTGTAAATGTGACGAGGCCTTGCCCCCAGCTATTGAAACGGCCGAACATCAGCACTCCAACACTTTACCGTCACAATATTATATATATATATATATATATATATGACTATAGGTCATATATATATCTATATATGACCATTCAGGCTTGTTCATATCTATATATCTATCTATCTAAATATAGATAGTTGTTCTTCCCCATATTGGGTGCATTTGGAGGTTCCGGAGTCTTCCTGGTTGGCGGACTGCCCTTTCTTTTCATTGGGAGCGTGGCATGGATTCTGTTGGACCCATACGCTTGAGTGGCGAGAAACGTCTATCGTTCTGCAGGTTTACCTGGGGGGGGGGGGGCAAATTTGAGCACCTTAATGTGTGCTTGCTCACCCTATGCCTTCTCTGGATGTTGGCCTCATGCAGCTTCACTTGCAGGTTCCTACCCTTTTGGCGTCCTTGATTGCAGAGGATTTGCACGCCCGTGGGCATTTGACTGTAGTCTTGCACTTCTTTTCCCTTCTTGAGCTGTCTTCGGCCTGGCTTGAGGAGAATGTGGAGGCATTGAGTGTCAGGCCTTCGTCTGGTGTGTTGGCTTCGGCAGCAAGGGCGTTGGCTGCGCTGTTGAAGCTGTTTGTGGCTATCCTGAAGGAGGTGTCTGTTTTTTTGCTTCTCGCCTCCCCCTAGTGCTCGCTCTCTCTTTGAGAGAGCAAGCCATACTTAGGCCCTGGCTCTTAGGTTTTCGTCGTCGTTTTGTCCATTGCTTGTTTGTGGGGTCTACTGTCGCACAGTTTCTGCAGGCGGCTTTGTCTAGTTGTTGTCCTATGTTGGACTTGTTGGTTCTCCGGGGTGGACGTTCTCGACCTTCTTCGCAGGGTCGTGCCAGGGTTCGGGGTTCCTCTGGTCGGAGTGGGCCATTGGTGCCAGTTTCTGAGCTGGCGCTTCCTTCGGAGCCGGCATTGTCTGGTCGGCGCGGTGATCGCTTTGTTTGTCGGCCAGCTTCTCTTAAGGGGTGTCGGCCATTTTGTGGTTCCCCCCAGTTGATGGGGCAATGGGGGGAAAGCTCGCACTGTTTGCTCACACTTGGTCCCACGATTCGTGGGCATTTCGGGTCATGTCATCCGGCCTGAGGTGGTGCTGGGGATTCCTCCTCCTCCTCCTCTGGTAGGTTCGAGGCTGGCGGGGCAGGCTTTTTCCCCTGGGCTTCATCAGGACATCTCGGAGTAGGTCCGCTAGGGTGTGGTCGAAATGGTCCCTGTCCCTCAGGTGGGTTTCCTGCCTGTTTCCAGTGCCGAAATGGGACTGTGCTGATCTGAGGGTCACTCTGACTTGTCCCGTCTGAACCCATGGATTCCTTGTCCCTCCTTTCAGATGACCACTATGTCTCAGGTCCGGTTTCTTTTGGAGCCGGGTGCCTGGATGGTGTCCCTGGACATCAAAGACACATATTGGCATGTTCCTATTCATCAGGGGATGAGTAGGATATTCATCAGGGAAGATGTCAGCTATAAAGAGGGAGGCAGTGCAGGAGAGACAGAGATGCAATTTTTATAAAATTGGGTGAAAAAATTGTAGAAAATAGTAAATTGTTAATGAGCAGATGAAAGTTAAATGTTGACAAAAAAAATAAGAATAGAGGGATGAGCATTTAGTAAGCATTAAATGGCATATAAATTACCCAACAATAGAAAAGAATATATTTAAAAAGTACCTATCATCGATGACTTTAGTTCTAGGCTTCTTAAGCTCGGCTTTCCTCTGCGCTTTCTTTTCTACAGCAGTCTCCTGCTCTGGACTGTCATTGACTTGCTTCAGCAGCTGATCTAATTCCAACACTTCTTCTGCTGCATCTTTTTTCATTTTACTCTGCTGTTCAACCTTCTTCCTTTTATTGGGACTTTTATTCTCATTACTAAGTCTATCTTGCTTTCTCTTCTTGGGGCTTGTCATGTGCCTCGTTGGACTAAGTTTAGGGACTTTTCTTGGACTTCCTTCCTTTGGACATGAGGCAGACCCTAATTCCTGCAAAGATCAAAACTGTACTACTAACCTATGCAAATACTCTATTATGAAAAAGTTATTTTCAGCACATGGCACAACTATACAGAGATAAAGCTTCCCCCAAAAATGTATTTTTATATTTCATTTCCACCACACAGAAGACATATGTAATTTAAATTGTCACCATTAATTTTTTAATCTTGAATTTCACACACAGTACCTTGAACTGTTAAACAAAATGTAATTATCAAAAGAAGGCACAAAACACCATCTGAGTCAGTGGACATTCAAAAGGTGCTAAAGATCATTCAGGATGCCAATACAAGAACAAAAGGACACAAGGCAAGTGACATCAGAGAGATCAATTCACCGAGGGACAAGAATAATTCATCAAGGGACAAGCAATGCACAAAGATGGCAGAGCATCTTGGTGTACACCATCCAATCCTGCCACTGAAATTGCATAGGGAGGTGGACTGAAACTCAAAGGGTGAAGAGAAAGCTGTGTAGAAAGCTGAAAGCGAGTGTTATCTCTTAGGTGGCGATTACCGTCGTTTGACGATTCTTAGGGTAATGCGCTTAACACACAGTATGATGTTTTCAGCCATTATTATCTTGGTTTTACATGTACAGTATAATGCAAATATGGATGTAATGGATATTACCTTGACTCATGAAAAAATCCTCCTACCATTTTATAGTTACGAATGTGGTTATCGTTATGAATGTTACTTGGGGAATGAAGTCCATCATCATATGATAATTTAAACAATTATTGACTGTTGTTACATGAATGATGCAAATATGGATATACAGTGGCACCTTGACTTATGATTGCCCCTACTTACGATAATTTCGAGTTACGATGTAAATTTGATAAAAAAATGTGACGACATCCGATGGCGTCGTTGACTTCCGATATTTGTTGGTACACGTTCAGGTCAACCGAGTTCCCGGTCACGCGGTCCGACCTGCCTCAGTTTACTACAGCTGCCCGCTTAGTGACGATTGCGCCTATAAGAAATTCCACGTTTGTGGTGATTTTTTGCATTTTGAACATTAAAGTAATTATTATATATCACGCCATGAGTCCCAAGAAAGTCAGTGGTAAGGCTCAACATATGAAAACCCATGTAAGGATGACCATAGAGCAGAAACAAGAGTACAGAATGTCTCTTCCTCAACAATTAAGAAAATGTGTACAGCATGGGAAGAATTGCAAACCTTTGCTGAAACGACTCGCCCAAATCAAGCTGGAGTAGGCCGTTGCCTTAACCTATTCAATGACACTGTGATGCATCATTACAGACAAATGTTAAAACGAAGGGAAAAACAAATGTCTCTTGATAAATTTGTAGTGAGACAAACAAGCACTGAACCACAACCAAGTCCTAGTGGTATGCAGGCAAAACGTGCCAGGGAGTGCACACCAGAAAGGTCCTCACTGCCTGATGTTATAATTGAAGGGGACTCCCCTTCCAAACAGTAACAACTCTCCTCCTGCCCCTTCATCACCATCTTCCATACGCCATCAAGAGCCCTCCATAAAGGTAAGATCAACTTAGGTACTGTATTGTAGTTAGAAAAAAACATTGTGTTCAGTATAAAATGTATTTGTATGCTAATATTTTGGAGGGTGGGGAACGCATTAATTCAATTCCCTTTATTTCTTAAGGGAAAAATCGCTTCGACTTACAATATTTTGAGTTATGATCTGTCTCTGGGAACAGATTAGCATCGTAAGTCGAGGCCCCATTGTACTGTACCAATAATATATCTCTGGATGTAAATAAATAAAAAGTCATAAAACAATCAGTGAAACATCAGAGGATAAAACAGAGTGTCGGCAAAGTCAAGCACTAGGCATTGACAAGTGCCAGATGCAGCCATGTAGAGTGCCTCCATGCAGTGAAACAATAAATATTCACTTATTTTCATGTTTTTCTTATATTCTGCATACAAATTAATTAATTCTACAATGAAAACATTTGTTTATTTTTTAGTTGTTTGTGTACAGGCAGGTATGACCATTTCTCCATAGCCGCTGTCCAAGGGCCGAGATTTAACATAGGACTTGGAAGGAAGGAAGGAAGGAAGGAAGGAAGGAAGGAAGGAAGGAAGGAAGGAAGGAAGGAAGGAAGGAAGGAAGGAAGGAAGGAAGGAAGGAGAGAGACGAGAACTGAAGTGAACAGCCGAGAAGTGTGAACCCAGTTAATTCGCAACCAACATAGGATCAACAATAAAAGAACCAGGGATATGAATATGAAGGACAGGCAATACACCAAGAGCAAGTTAAACGGCAATCCCAATTTATATAGCATAGTATTGCATAATTTGATAATTCAAACTACGGTACTGCAAATGCATTAATTTACCTTTTCACTTTTGCTACACATATCAGTAGCTCCTTTAGTTTTCTTTAGACCAGATGCTTCAATAAGTAAGGCTTCCCGTTTCTTGCGCATCATGTCGTCTAAAACCTTGGTCTTAATGGATTCCTCCAGTGCAGCACTAATAGCTGCATCTTCATTAAGAGGACTCAGCAATCTGCTTGGTAAACCACCTATAATAAAATAAAATAAAAAAATAAATTTACTCTAACATATCAAAATTGTGTGTTGAATGAAATGAAATACTATTTTCTGTTGGGTCACAGAGGGTGCAAAGACTTATGGAATCTCAGGAGAACTCTGAGACCCACCCATGCCTACCAGAACCCAGAACCAGAATCTGGCTCTTTCTAAGAGGTGTGGGCAGCTTAGGGATTAGAGATAAACCCAAACCCAAGAATAAATACACAAATATAAAAACATGAAAACAACCAACTGCTTGAATGGATACAAAAAAACCATGAGGAAAAAAGTCAAGCAAATGTTATGTGGAATAATCTAGTCCTAATCCTAATCCCAGTGCTAATGCCCCCCAAGTGTCACAAGATGGCACCCCAGGTCAAATGGGATCCTCACCAGCCACACTCCTCATTCAAAGCATTATATGACAAAGAGTACTGGGAAGACAGGACACAACGAATGTAGCTCTCATCCTGTAACTACACTCGGGTAATTACAAGCCACTCAAACTAAAAAAAACAAAATTCCACAGGAAAAACCAACAGAGAATATAATGCAACACCAATTTTTGGGCGAGCAAGTGACTTTCTGAAGCCACTATGCAGATACACAGTACAGAACTGTAAAATTGCTTGGTGCCATCAGTCACAAAGTTCTTTCATGTCTACTGACCCAAAAAAAGCACTAACGATGCACTTATTAGTATGCTTAACTCGATTCATACAGCTCTTGATAAAAATGAGTTCCCTGTTGGGTTATTTGTGGACCTGCGTAAAGCTTTTGATACTATCAACCACCAAAACCTTCTTCTTAAATTACATCATTATGGAGTCAGAGGACACTCCCTGCAATACCTCAAATCCTACCTTACTGACAGGCCCCAGTATGTTTCTGTGAATAATTCAATTTCTCCCACCCTACCCATCAACATTGGTGTTCCTCAGGGCAGCATACTTGGCCCTCTCCTCTTTCTCATCTACATTAATGACCTTCCAAATGCCTCCCAACACCTCAAACCAATTCTATTTGCTGACGACACAACCTTCATTTACTCCAGTCCTGACCCCCTTGCTCTAAATGCCACAGTAAATACTGAGCTAAATAAAGTCCATCTTTGGCTAACTGCCAACAAACTCACCCTTAACATTGACAAAACTTTCTATATTCTGTTTGGCAATAAATCCTCTAATCAAATAAATCTCAAAATAAACAATACCCAAATTTGTAACAAATTAGATGGCAAATTCCTTGGCATTCTCATTGACCACAAGCTGAATTTCCAGGGACACATTCTAAATATATCAAAAAAAGTTTCAAAAACTGTTGGCATTCTTTCTAAGATCAGATATTATGTACCCCACCCTGCCCTGGTGACTCTCTATTACTCTCTTATCTATCCATATCTCAACTATGGTATTTGTGCTTGGGGCTCTACTACCCAAAATCATTTACGTCCTCTAATTACTCAACACAAAGCTGCTATTAGGACAATATCCAACTCTGGCCCCAGACATCACTCGGTACCCCTACTCAAATCTCTGAATATGTTAGACATTAAGTCACTGCACATTCTCTCATGTGTATTATACATATATAAAACGCTAAACTGTAATGCCAATCCTGACCTCAAAAGCTTCATAGAAGGTTGTAACAGAACCCATGAGCACCACACCAGAAATAAATACAGTTTTGATATTCCTAGAGTACGACTTAATCAAACTAGAAATGCTCTACAAATCAAGGGACCCAGATTGTGGAATGACCTTCCCAACCATGTTAAAGACTGTACCTCTCTCAACCAGTTTAAGATAAAAACGAAGCTATACCTAATAAATTCCCTGTAACCTACCTTACCCCTCTATTGTCAACCAATGTCTGTTTTTTTAAAGAGCGCTGTTTGTCGACAGAATTGTATTTGTGCTGCTTTTTCAGCTATGTTTTCATTCCATGTATTCATTTTACTCTTTATGCTCAATTAGTATTAAGCTTTAGTCATTTAAGTTTTTCATGCCCGAAACGCTTTGCGTAATAGTGGCTTTAGGCATTGTATGTACTAGCCCTATCTATAAATCCATCACTCTTTGTAAAATCTCTTGTATGTATGTACCTTACCTAAATAAACATTTGATTTGATTTGATTTGATACTGGGGACCAAGAGCCAGAACCTGGCCCCCTCCAGCAGTGGCACCTAGGATCAAATTTCTATGAATCAAAATTATATCTGCCACCCACAGGAAAAAGCACCTAGAAAATCAGACAAAACAGACCATTGGTGATTAGAAACAAGACTGCAGCTTCAAACCCATCAAAAGACTTTCCCAATGTAAATGACTGAAAATTCATGAAACTAGCGGAAGCTCGTTCGCCCTACCTTCCCTCTCATTTGGGGGAGGAGGGAGACAGCCAGGGGTCAGCCAGCTGCTCCACCCTTAGTTTTATGATGGAAACACCCCCTCACTCCCTGGGAAAAGGGGGAGGGTGTCGGGGAGCCGCTGGGGCTCACCCAGAAATTGCTGTTTCATTACATTCAATGCTGGCTTACTGAGGAAGCCCCTTCTGGGTCCCTGAAGTTATCTACCCACAGAGAAGGAAACCAAATATGGGCACCAAACCAATAAAGAGGGAGATTAGGAGAAAAGCAGACAAACCATGAAACAGCACAAGACACGCAAAGGTGCCGGAGATTGAGCATCCTGTGCCCGAGCAGCCCGGCTCACAAACCAAGGCTTGAGAAAAGCAGCCGAACCTTAAACACAGGTGCAAAACAAACCACCAGCCAACCAACACCTGATCCAGCAGACCTTGCAAGAAGGCCCAAGACCCTACCAGAGCACCTGGCCCCCAGGTATGGCAAGGAGAGGCTGAGCTAAAGCACCTTGTGAAAGGTCAAATCCCACTGGGCCAAACAAGGAGTCGAGAAATCACGGCAAAGCCAGCCAAGAAGCAGCAAAGATGAACCACCAGGACATAAGGAACAACCACACCCTGTGAGAACAACATTGCAGACAACTGAACCACAACACAAAGAGCTGACCAAGACAGAACCAGTGGCACAAATGAGGGGGGTGAAGCAGCCATCCAACATCCAACACAACCACCACAATCAACATCAGTTGATTGACAGTTGAGAGACAGGACCAAGGAGCCAGAGCTCAACTCCCGCAAGCACAACTAGGAGAGTACTGTATACCTAGATGAGTACACAAGATGCAAACCCCCCCATCAAACAAACGAAGCAAAGAACAGGGTACCCCCCTTCAGAAGCCAACTCAAACCCCACCAGAAAAGGAGGAGCAGGTGACAATGACAAAATGCAAACCAGGGGTTGAAATAATAAAACCCCCTGGCATCAGAGAGACCAAGACACTTGCCCACCCAATACCCGGAAGCACAACCAGACCGAAGGGGACACCGGAAGGCCAGGAAAGAAAACAAAGGCAGAAGAACAGGCCGGGGACACGCCAGACAGGGAGCGAAACAGAGCCGAGCTCGATGGGGCATGGTAAGAATGGGTGCTGGTGGAAGTGTCGTGAAGAAGAACTTTTGTAACTGTTCTAGAACTGGGGATCAGAAGGAGAGCAGACTTAAATATCCCAACATGCTGCATTAGCATAAGACATGTTGGAAAAGGGCAAGACATCAGACTTTGCGACTCACCTCAGGCAAGGATACATGACCTTTATGCTTCAGGTGGAGGATGGTCAGATCAAACTTATAGTGACTACACATGACCAAGAAATGCCGGGTAGGCAGGAATGCAGTTACTGCAGCAAACTGACAAAGAAGGGCACTCACATTTAATATGGCTGAATTCACCACATAAAGGCCAAAGGAACACTTTGGTATGGCAGGTTGAAGCTCATGTTTAAATTTCCAACAAGTAATAAACAGGTAATGAGAATCTATTCCTGCACAGCGCACCAGGCACTTCCAAGGATTACCGAGGGTAGAGAGTATGACAATCACAAGTAACAATATCACAATGGGATTTAGTGTGCCTACTGTGAGGGGGTACATGAATGCCTTAACTTGGATAACAGAATGACCTTAGAGTTTTATGATTGCTTTCACGTCTTTGTAGCAATCACAGTCTCTACAACATGGAGCAGGAGAATGACAGGGCCATTACTGATATTTGGATGAACAATCTTGGAGACCCGAACTGGGAGCTCACCAAGGGTAGGAGGCAGTCAGCTCCATCTTGAGTATGAGTTTCAACTACTCATGCACCAGGCCAGTTGGAATAGAAGGTAATGTTCAAATCAACCAACTGAAAGTGGTAATACTGTAGATGAAGACCATCAAAATATGAAATCAAAATATTTGGCCAGTGTAGGTGGACTAAACAAATTGAACATAGGAGTAGAGCAATTGAAACAGGCGACGAAGCAGTCATCCAGATGTCCCTACCATAGAAGGATCAGAAAGTGAAGAATGGAACTGGGTCGCAGTCTAACTCAGCACGAGCTGTGGTGCCATCAGGAAGTTTCTCTTTGGGAGAGAGAGGGAAACAGATCTTGCAGGCCAAACTGACTAGAGAGCCTGGTTGCCTACCACATGAGTATGTGTATACAAGCAAGTTTGGGGGGTAACTGTAAAGGATTGTTGAAGTTTGCTCATAACAAGATATGATTTCGCTTCCCTGCACCTTCATCCACCCAAAGCCCAGCAAAAGAAAGTAACCCACAAACCATTAGGTATACCGAGTCTCCGTCTCCAATGTCTGCTTGACCCCAAGTTCTGGCTCAAAGAAACTCGCCTTATACCCCATCTTTCAACAAAGAAGTGTCTTGTCCTTCAGAAACCTCAGGCAGAGGGTTAGTTCAGCTTTCAGATGAAGAGAAATGGGGAATATAATGAGTCTCCATGCAGGGAAAAATGCATGGGTTGCCAAACCACCGAGTACAGTATTTCACTTATGCACCACCACAGCCGGCAGGAGTGCGAGTAGAAACCATTCTTCCCCATCCAATAGTTTCAAAGTCCATAATGATTACTACTTCAAATATTCATAACAAACTAATGCCTAAAACATACATGTTATCTGTTAAAACACATTCATTTAAGCTTCAGAAAAATGCTTTCTCACCTCATTCCCACTTAAAATTTAGCATAATATTCTACAATTTCATAAAAGTATGAGATGTGAGAATTTAATTTAATTTCTGATTAGGACAATAGAGCAATAATAATTACCTTATTTCATATTTGATATGCAAATTATAAATTGTTGCTTACCTGTAATTTTTGCCACATCTGTCTTCTTCTGAAAGATATTGGGAGAGATCTTTGTTTGTTTATATTTTTTCTTCTTTGAGTCAGGTGGCTCTATAACCATCATATATGAAGTCCCTTTGTTCAATCTGTCTACAGTTTGACATTTCCTTAGGCTGCGGGTATTTGCTCTCGGGGGAGACATGTTGGAAATTGATGCAGACCTCGGTAAAATGGTTCTTGTTTTTGAAAAGGATTGAGTTTGATTTTGCATATTTTTTGGTAAGGAATTATGATTTCCTTCATTATTATATTTAATGTTGTTTTTAACACCTGGCAAAAGTGAGGGAGAAGTTGGGTCAGAGTCATTCAGTGAGGTCGATATATTGTGAGTAAACAGCAGAGGCGAGTACTTTGGAGTGGAAGTAATAACCCCAGTAACTTTTGAGTCTTTGGATTCTGGGGTATGGATATCTAGTAGCTTTGGTAACTGCCTATTAGTATCAAAGTTTAATGCCTTTGGGAAATCTGAATCAATGCTTTTCCTCATAGTTTCTAAAGCTGTAAGTCGATTTTGTTTTCCTAGCACAGGACTCAACACTTTCTTAGACTTTAATATCTGCATGTTTACTTTATCTTTTAGTGGACTTTTCAATTTCTTTTCCCCATCAATAGGTGAATCAGGTAGTGAATCATAGGTACCGTCTAATATTTCACTCACATTGCTAAGACTATTCTTATAAAAGTCTGTATTTTCATATGCATTTGTATCAAAGGCTCTTGTATTCTCCATAGCAGGGGAATCAGGGATGGACACAGTTTGCGTTGCTAGAGCCCTTCTTTTTGACACATTAACAAACAATTCATTTTCATCTAAAGATAAAGTTTCTGGAGCAAGAATTTTAGGAGCAATTGGTCCTACTGATTCTACATTCATCTCAGATTTTCCCTTCCTTTCAGCATCTTGAATAATTTTTGGACTTGTGCTTTTAGGCGTTCTAGAAAGGCACCGATAACTACGGTCTACTATCTGAGAAGATGCCAATTTTTTTTCTTTAATCTCTGAAGAATCAAGATTCTCCTCAATGGCACACTTTTTATTAGGAATAATTTTCACAACCGGATTTTTTTGACAGTTCAAATGGTGCATTTCTTGCCGAGTTGGCACATCAGGTTGAACATCGGCACTTTTATTGGTCCCAATATCTAGAACACCACATACTATCTTCTCTGCACAAGTGCACTTGTCGACACGCTCCTTAAGATGGCTCAACGTCTTTATGGCTTCATCACGTTCATGCTTGATTTCTAAAGACAATATAAAAATGTCAGCGAGTTCACAGACAATTCAGTACAGTATCTATAACAGACATGTTTTTCATAAACTGAAATGTAAATCAAATACAAACATTACTTAAAACTAACCACCACTTACCCATCACCAAGAGAAACAAAGTACGGGAAAGGAGCTGCAGCGCACGTTCTTCTCCATCCTCTATGGACATCACAGACTTTAGCTGACCCTGGATATTATCATCATTAACAATAGATGACCAAAACTTCAAAAAACCTACACTTCCCATTTCACTTTTGTAGATGGTCCTGAAAATGCAAAAAGAGTCTTAAATAAAATAACAAACCTGGAGAAATAATACAACTTTCCATGTTATGGTAGAAAGTCATTTATTTTATAAGAGGATTAAATGAAGGCTTGTTTAACGTTTACACTGCGAATGTAAACAATCACAGTCACTCGATCACTTGAGTGATTGGCCCATATGCCTCAATTACCTGGGTATGATTTAAGGTGCCCATTTGTTTCAAAAGCCGCACCCATTCTAGGGGACGTTATTTGAGACTAGAGACCTATGTTTTTGACGCCATTTGCTATACTGTATTTGGAAAAAACTCCTCAGTCTCTTAGTTTCCTAACAGGGATTTAGTAAAAAGATGCAGACCATATCTAACAGATCAGCATCCAGTAATTGTATGTTCAGGGTGATCATGAAAGAAGCCATTGAGCTTTTAACAGCAGCAAACCTGTGATATTCATGTACAAGTACTCTACATATTTGCATGCAAAATATATGCAATTATAAGATTTAGGATAGTTTAAAAAGAGCCAAAGAGCCAAAGCTCAACCCCTGCACGCACAACTAGTTGAGTGCACCTAGGCGAGTACTAGAATGGATAAAATAATGGTTGAACCAAATACAGTAATACAAGGGGTCGTGATTAACAGAAATTAATCTGACTGGTAAAATGTGGCGAGGGGTACCAGAGGTACATTTTGGGGGACAACCATTTTAGTCATATACATGAATGACATAGATGAGAATATTACAAACCACATCATCAAATTTGCAGATGACACTAAGATTTATGGTAAAGTGGAGTGAAAATGATATCGAGGCCTTACAAAGAGACCTACCTGAACTCTACAAATGGTCAGAAGACTGGCAAATTCTTTTTAATACAAAAAAAAAAAAAAAAAAAATGCAAGACCTTGCACGTGGGCAGAACATTTCACATCACAACTGTCAAATTAACAGCATTACCTTGCAACAGATTGATGAAGAAAAGGACCCTGAAGTCAGATTTCACCATTCACTGAAAGTTGCACAAGTAGGAGCTGCAGTATCAAAAAGGCTAACTAAACCCTAGGAGTGATCAAGGAAACATTTAACTTTAAGGAATAGAAGGTACTGTATGAGTTCTGCTATCCAAAGCCTGCTGAACCAAATACTGTACGGTACAATATTTGGATTATCAGGGTAAGATCATGTCCAGATAATTTTCTGGCAAAACTTTGCCATGTCCAGATAGAAATCCGGATAACCAGAGATTTGGCCAGATAATGTAGACTGGCACAGTCTGTCAAGTTCAGATAATTTTCTGGCAAAACTTCACCATATCTGGATAAAAATATGGATAACTGGAGATTAGGTTACACAAATTAAAGAACTACACATTTCAAGATTTACAGTATCAAACAAAAATACAGACTACAAGGTAAGCTGAAGTTTTAAATTATATTTTGTATTTATAGGATGCAGAAATTCAAATTATGTTGCGTTTAAAAAAAATTGCGAATATGGTAATTTTTGGACTTCCACTGTAAGAATTTTGCTTATCCAGATGTCTGGCTTAACCAGTGAGGGGAACTTCCCTTATAGTTTGGATAAATGAGCTTACAGCAGTTATTCAACTGTAACTGGTGCACCGCTTGGATTACTGTATCCAAGTAATTACTGTATCCAAGTCTTCATGCTTGGATTACTGTATCCAAGCATGGAGACCACATCTTCAGAAGGACATAACTGCTCTGGAGAAAGTGCAACATCTGGCAATAAAAATCATTCCAGAGCTAAGTCAACTCTCGTATCAGGAACAGTTGAAGGCCATAAGGCTAACAACACTGCAAATTTGGCACGACAGGACGGATCTCATTGAAACTTTTAAAATACCCCTTTGAGCAAGGGAGCAGAGTACTCTCAACCCTCTCCTATGGACATGCTAGCATCCCATTATAAGCAACTCAAGCGAGCTTCCGGTCCCTCACCGGAATTCTATAACTGGGCAGAGAATCAGTGGTTCAAAAAGTTGTGCCAAGTCCTCGAGTCTCAAAATACTATCATCTTGAGTCTTCTAAATGAGAATCTAGCGAACCGCGCTAATCTCCAACAACAACAACAAGAAATAACCCTCCTCCGCGAGGATATTAGAAACTGCAAGGCAAGCCAAGACCAACTACTGTACAGCATGATTTGATTGATCTCCGTGAGGAAAACAACCTTCTGAAAACTGATGAAGCCATAAAAAAACAGGAGGAAGCTCTCAGCAAAATGACTGCATGTATCAGTACATTTTCAGCCCAACGTTCTGTCTCCCAGGATGAACAAGACCAGCAAAAGCTGCTAGACTCTGTTATAGTGTCGTCCCAAGATATACCTGTGGAACATGAAGGTGAAAATTGTGTCGAAATAGCTCAGGATCTCTTAAAAAACAAATTGCAGCTCATTCTAAACAAATCTGACGTTATTGCTGCCTACAGAGTAGGCAAAAAGAATCCATCAGGTCAAAACCAACGGAAAATTCGCCTGAAGCTGTCTTCCCAGTTCACGAAATCCAATCTAGTCCGGACAGCTGCAACCCAACGGAAGGGATTATACATCAACGAGTGCTTGACTAGGAACAGACAGCAACTCCTCTACCGCCTGCGTCAAATCCGTCAAAAAACCCAGATGCGATTCATCAGTGCTTCGTTAGAGATGGACTGATAAAGGTGAGAAAAACCGCAGAGGGCAAAATGTTCACAATTACTAAAGAAGAGAACCTCAACACTTTCCTCTCCCAATGTGGTCTGTCTCAGCTCATTATCACTCCCAGTGAATTAACTTAATTAACCCCCTGTCAACTAGTGGGGCTAGGTTTCCTAAGTCTCATTGTTTCATTTTCTGACTTAATTTTTAACTTACTCTTAACTAGTCATTTACTGAAATTATTTAATTGAGTGCATTAATAGTTCTTCAGGTCTTATTAATTATACAGTCATAACTGAACTATTTATAGTTAACACTTTCGCGCTCTCGGCGCTCAAAAAAAAAAATACCCCAGATGCTTTCGGCACTTCGCGCGCCTACGCGGTAAGACCGAAAAAGTGTACACTCTTTTGACTGTCCTGACAATAATTGAAGGCGCACGTATTTAAATTTGGTATCACTGTGTTCGCAGTGAAATTGTCTATAAGAGCATACCTATAAAATGCCGCCCAAGCATAAGGAGTATCAACACCAAATAAAAAACTATGCAGATCACTCGCCGAGATCGCCAAACAGCAACAAAATGTTTCCACTTTCTTAATGGTTGCGAAGCCTACAGTTGTCCTACATCGCTAATTTTGGTATCATTGGAATCGCAATAAAATTCTCTACACGGACATATGCATATGAATGTTTAATATAGGTAATTGCCCACCCGCAAGAGTGTGTGAAGTGGAGAGTAGTTAGCCGCGAGCGCACTGGCAAAAACACAGGGGGGAAATCATGCTTGGAAAGTTTATACGTTTCCTGACCCTACTTTTCTATGTACGTATTTCCTTTTTATAATAATGTGTTCGCAATAAAATTTTCTATAAGATGAACTGTATAACATTGGTACAAAGCATGTGTAAGAGAAGCGCCAAATATAGAACCACGTCGCTCAGTATGCGTTCGCGGCAGAAACGAACGCATTGTTTTCGTTCGTTTGATGTTTGTCATGTTTATACTTGTTGAAACATTTTATAATTTGTATGACAGTGATCGCAGTAAAATTCCCTACACAGACATATACATAACACATACAAATATTTCCCACGTGTTGGATATATCAACGGCTAAAGGGAACCCACTGCCACACGCTCGCCACACCCCCAAACATACTTTGTGTATTTTTTTTTTTACTCATAGAAGTTTATGTGATATAATATTCATTCTGGTAACAAAAAATTCGCAAATAAATTCTCTACAAAACAAAAGTATCCCCATCCATTTCGGTTAAAAAATGGAATTTATAGAAATATTTTTTCGATTGACGAGAAAAGTAGGCAGTTATGCGGAATCGTAAGAAAAACCAGTGACGAGTTATCTCTAATATAAAGCGCGAAAGTGTTAATAATCATTAGCTTAAATTTGCCTATGCTTATTATTCAACTTTTCTTTGATTTCATTTATTACCTAGGTTGCCTAGCCTCGCCATGCTCCCTTACTCCATTGTACCCCTGGCTTTGCCTGCATCTCAAATTGCAAATTGTTACTTACAGTGTACCTGAGAGTACTTGTAAGCAATCTACCTCATTTTTCATTTTTGCTCAATTTGTTTTTGTATTGCTTAGTCTTATTTATATTTTTGTTTTGTATTTCTATATCTTGTGTTTTGTATAGTCCATGTTTATATGTTTTTTTCTTTAATCTCATTTATTACCTAGGTTGCCTAGCCTAGCCATACTCCCTTACTCCATTGTACCCCTGTAAGCCCCTTTTGTGTTTGTTTTGTACAGTATTGTGTACATTTTTTTCCCTATTTTATAGCTTATTTCTACCTTGTAATTTGCCTTTCTTTCCTTGTTTTTCCTGCAATCAGCTTTTTTTATGCAGATAAGTATAGACCCAGAACTTAACCTCTTATCCACTATCTATGACAATTATCACTTTAATGATCTAAATTGCAGATATTTTGCAGCACATGATGTAAACAATGTATTAACTCATAATCACAATATCTCTGTAATCAATTTGAACGTTAGATCCCTAGGTAAACACTTCGATGATGTTAGTGCCTTGATTGAAGCTATTGACAACAAATTCTCTTTTATTATACTTACTGAAACATGGTTGAAAGAGGATACTACTCAGCTCTTTAACATGCCTAACTACTCAGCAATTCACAACTGTCGTCAACTTCAGAGAGGTGGTGGCACTGCTCTTTACTACCACCAAGAACTAACATGCTTAAAAGAAATTAGAACCAGAGACTGCTATGGGGAGTATATCTTTGCCAGCTTCAGAGTCAAGGGTGCCGAGTCTGTCCTGTCTGTGGGTGCAGTTTATAGAATTCCTAAC